AGTATTTTGAGAATAGCTTTCTAAAACTCTGTTCCATCATTGGCTGCTTTCAACAGTAGAGTCTAATCTTGTTTAACTGGCCTGTTCCATCCACTAACAATTTGATGTTCCCTTCTCCAACCCACTTTTTACTCCCTGGTATCACGTTAGCTTTCATTTCACTCATTTCATTGATGGCTCACACTGTCTCTTTACTTCCTTTTCTATTCAGTCTAGGCCCCATGATTCATTACTTTAACTCTCCTTCTTGTCCTGTCCTTTTGCCCTTCTGTCCCTCTGACCTAGTAAAGCCCCAAAGGATGGCTCCATCCAGCTTCTCTAGGATAAAATAGTATTTTATTTTATTATCATAATAAAGCCTGGCTCAGACTCCTGCAGACCTATCCATAGCCATGTGTACTGACGTTGCTGCTCCATCTCCACAGTCGCTGTAGTCTTCAAACTCAGCTGAGCATTAATTGCTACCTACAAAGCCTTATTGTATCCCTCTTGAGCTGTGGAATTTTTCCATAACAGATGTTTCAAGTTATTTCAACCTCTTAATCTACTAGTTTGTATATGTTACATGGCAAGTAACAGTTGATTGATTCTGAGTCTTAGCATAAAGTAAACTTAAAAATTTTTTTTTGTATTAACAGAGGAATCTTATTATATATATAGCTCTGATAAACTGGCTCATGATCTTCAGTCTGTTTTCGTTGCTGCATAACTGGATAAGGTGTGAAGGAAAAACAAAAACAAACAAAAAACCTCCTGATTTGGAAGACTTAACTGAACCTATCTTTGGAAACAGAATCAATTAAACATGTATGTGTTACTTGGACTAAATACAACATAAACCCATACAAAATGGTAGTTCAAGCATCTCAAGTTTTTTAGAGAATGTTAGAATCTATTGTCTAAATTGTCTATCGTCCTCTTTGGAAAAATCCAAAGTCATTGGGTCTTACAAATTATTTGGATAATTTTTCTTCCAAAATGAAAAGAGATGATGATTAGTCAGATGCAGTAGATAATTTGGTCAACATTTAAATAAGCAGTAAACAGCCTACATATTAACTGTTATAAAGTAAACATTTAAAGGCAGTGTGTTGAAATATGTGCATTTTAAGGAGCATTCAGAGTTTAACTTATAAAATCCTATTGAAATCAAAGAAATTCATACAGGCTTACCCCATATAGATTATTGTACAAAAACATGAATACTGGGTCCTCCAAAACATTTCACTTTCTATATATCCTATATATGGATGTACACATGACTTTCTGCTCTTAGAGGCATGCTTCCTCTCTTCTGTTTTGCACAAGACTAGGAGAACAGGAGCATTTTATTTTCAGAATTTCTTCACACTTTTCCTTGAAAAAATAATGGGAAGTATACTAAAGAGAGAAGATAGTGTGTTTCAGTCAGGGTTCTTGGTTGCAAGCAGGTGACTCTGGCTGTGGTTAGCTGAAAAGAAACATAGTAAATGGAAGTTGGGAAGGACTCTACAATTCAATAATAAAAAGACAATCCAATTTAAGCAATGAGCAAAGGATCTGAATAGACATTTCTTTAAGGGAGATACACAAATGGCCAATAACACAGAAAAAGATGCTCAGCCGCATTAGCCGTTAGGAAAATGCAAATCCAAACTTCAGTGAGATGCCACTTCACACCGACTAGGGTGGCTAGATTTAAACTAGATAGTAAGTGCCCACTAGGATGTGGAAACATCAGACCCTCATATGCTGCTGTTGGGAAACAAACAAATTGAAAGATCCACTACGCTTTTGTGTGCCATACATTAGGACTACAAGGCAAATTCCTGTAGACTTAGTTTGATTTCCGAGCAAGTTTATCCGATGCTAAAAAGGTTGAGATTTTAGATTTGATTCCCATTACTGATTTCATAATCAGTTACCTTGTCTTCTACTATTCGACTCAGCGGTCTCACAAATTATTTCCCTAATGCCAAGGAAAATCAGGTGAAAGAGTACATGGATTATTTATTGCAAAACCATCTTGACCTTAGTGGAGAGGCGGAGAGAGAGAATTCAGATTATAGACCTTGCTGATACGGGATTTGTCTTCAGTAAAATACTCATGTACCTAACTTTGTGTAACAATCTAAGGTAACTAGATAAATGTCATCATTAAAGTCAAAATTTTTACCTTATATTCTTCAGTTTTTAAAACCTTATGAAATATTTGAAAAGACAGTTAATGTAGTTCATAATTCTAATCCCACCTCAGCCTCCCAAGTAGGTGGGACTACAGGTGCCCGCCACCATGCCCGGCTAATTTTTTTGTATTTTTAGTAGAGACGGGGTTTCACCATGTTAGCCAGGATGGTCTGGATGTCTTGATCTCCTGCCCTCGTGATCCGCCTGCCTCGGCCTCCCAGAGTGCTGGGATTACAGGCGTGAGCCACTGCACCCAGCCTAGGATGCCTTTCTGAGTGTAAGAATATGTGTTAAAAGTCATTGTAGATTAGTGAATGTTGAGTTTTCTTCCTGAGGATTCATTTATATCAGGATTTTATTCCGCTTCGCTTCAGGTAACACATTTCTGCAGGAATGCTGTAGAAATGGTGCTATATTCTTTTCACTGGAATAGATTGGGAAGCATATGATGTTTGTCCTATTACTAATGCTGTTAATTTTGGTCACGTGGTTAAGATTGTGTCTGACAGTTTTCACCACTGAAAAGTTACCATTTTTCCCTTGGTAATTCATCTATTTATAGGGCGGTACCTTGAGACTGTACATATTCTGCTACTCCAAAATTTTTACCCACTAGTTTTGGTATTTATTGATTATTATTAAGATGGCTGCCAAATGGTGGTTTCTAATTCCATCATTTGTTCTATAATTATTAGTTGGCTTTCTACAGAAAGGCCAATGATGTCCTTCTCACTTTGTTATTTACATCACTAAATTCATAGATTCTTAGGTATTAAGTGATTTATAAGCAATTACTATAATTATTTTTGATGCTTACATTATCCCAGATTTGGCCAGTGGGAGCCTCTTTAAGCTGGCTCCTGTGTCCTTCTGTCATGCCCCCATCATTCTTTGAGCACTTCTTGACTTTCCGGCACAAGATGTTTCAGACTAATTTTGTGCTAGAGCTACTCCAGCTCTAGTATCAGCCATTTCTCCAAGGATGCTAATTTCGGTTTTAAGTTGAGGAAGGAATCTTGTATCTTATGCTGACTTTCCCAAATAATATTGACATATGAAACATAGAAGTTCCTTTAAAAATGTTAGAAATACTTTAACTTGTTCTCTTGTTCACTAAGTTTCCTTTGTGTGTTTGGGGCTAGATACTTCCAACATAAATGAAATTTAACTCCCATTCACATTTCAAAACCAGTGTTAAAGTAATTGTTACAGACAAATACTATAGATGTGCAGAATGGGCTGAAACCTAGGAATTGAAGAAACATTTGAGAAAGAAGTAGGATTTAAATAAATAGAAAGGAGCAGGGAGGACATTAGATTCAGGGGTACAGAATGAGCAAAAGTATAGTACTAGGCATAGGCATGTCTTATTAGGAAGTTTTGATGAGCCTGACTAATGGGTGGAGAGAATAATGTTGATCATTAGTGAGTGAGTGGGAGCTAGTTTATTGGAAGCCTGGATTCCAGGCAGTCTGATTTAGAACTTATCCCTCAAGCAGTGGAGAGTCCTTAAGTTTTTGGGCTGGGTAGTCATAAAGAATATGTTTTAGGAAACTTGATATGATGTTATTATTGTAGAATAAATTGAAAACCAGAAGACAAATTAGGGAATTCTTAATTAAGTGTAAGGCAGTAAAAATACAAATAGAAAGGAATGAGTACACAGGAAAGTAATTTGGAAGGAAGAAATAATATGTTGAATCAGGATTACTGGAAGACTGGGAAACTGAAAGAAATGGGAAACTGCTGATTTTTATAAGAGAAAGAAAACAGAAATAAATTGCAAACAGAAACTCAAAGAAAAAAGAGGTTTACTGATATTGAGATTTTTATGTAATCATTTAAAAATAATGATTGACTAAAAGCTATAGAACTACTCTGTAACTTTTTATACGAAAGAATGTAGTTGAAAATTGATGATTTGGAGCTATAGAATATGGTAATTGTTAGACGCAGTAATGCTTGCTGAATTTTCTAACACTATTAGAAATAGGCATTTCATAATCACTTTCATTTTCATAGTTTTAGATTTATAAGGAAATAGAAACTTGTTTTGGTTTGATATGCATTAGTAAATTCAACCACACTACCAGTCTCAAATCAAATCTCTGAACTGAGATCCAGATTCCTGATTGTTTTGAATGGTATGGGTTTTGTTGGCATTTGTGGGTGAGAAATTTGTTTTTAAGTGTAGCATCTGATTCTTCTGGTGTTATTGAAATTTACATTCCCATCTTTAGAGAAAAAAATTAGTTTTAACTTCAACTTTGTCTAAAGAAAAAACCCTCGCAAACTAAGAACTGCACTATATAAGATATTGAAATCATCAAATATTGTGATCAAGACATTCTTTGGCATATGCTGAGAGATGAAAATAAAAGGTACCTGGGACCAAACATTGTACCTGAAGTGAGAATGCATTTTCCTGAATAAATATTTTTTCATTTCATTAATTTTTACAATCAAACATTTAGGTCTTAACTAGACCATCCTTCTTCATGGAGAGAGCAAGAAAATGACACAGGTTTGTTCTCTCTCTGGCTACTATGTCTTCAGGTTTTCTGAACTGGCGTGAATTCTAGCAGTTACATCTGAAGACTGAACCTCATTCTAGCCATAGGTTTGTTTATTTGTTCATTAATAAGTTAACTTATGAACTTCCTAATTAAAATTTGTTGAAAGAAATTATTATATGAGGTAATGTATTAACCATATAATGTGTTGGAGTAGTGCTGGGTGACTGTCATAATTTCTGCTGGTACAGTTTACAAAAAGGAAAATAAAGTTAGTTCTTTTTGTTGGGAAAGAAGATTTCATGTTATCTGTGTTTGCAGGCTTTCTGGCTCATCTGCTGGAGGAATCCTTGCTGCGGGGGTGTTTTCATTTTCTCGTCTAACATGGCAGTGGTCCATTGCAGCAGAGGTTTTTAGCTTAAACAATCTGTTTGTGGGGCTGCTTATGGCTCTTACTGTACATTTTGAGGAAGCAGCAACTGCTAAGGAGAGATCAAAGGTAACCTATTTTGATCAAAGTGAAATCAGTTTTTGTTTTAATTTTTAGACAGATGTATTTCTTTTTAATGTTGGCTTAAATACCATTTATCTATTCTGATTACTGTCAGGATAATCTGGCATGTTGAGAGAGAAAATGATCTCAGTCTTTTTTATTATGGATGGAACCACAATAGCCCTTATAAAACATGGCGCTTTTCTTCCCTCAGAGTTTAAAAGTTTTTTGGAGAGTGAGAGGATTATGAAATCCCCTGTGTGTCCCGTGGGAAAGATAGGCTTGTTGGTTAATTCACCATCATTTATTTGTGTATGTTATCAGAAAGTGCCAAGTTCTAGACTGGCCCCCTTAAATTAGGATACATTGACTCGCTCTTTAATTGCCAAAAAATGTTGAATTTGTAATTTACTTAACTAAGAGAAAAGTATCAAATGTAAACCATGAAGTAGTTCAGAAGAAATTACAATGAATTTTAAGGTAAACACTGTCATTAGAATCACTTGACATGTAAAAGAACCCTATCTTCTAAGAACCTACAGTCTATACACTGGGAAATGCCAAAGCATCTTAGTATAGGCAGCTTTGTGTTGTTAAAGAGTGTAGAAACAAAAGAACATCATGGTTTATATGTGGTTTTCTGTGATGCTATTAGAGGGGTTTTTTTTGGCTTAAAAAATGTCTGATTATGTTAAAATATTCAATAGACTTTTTATGAGAAGGCACACTGTTCAGGTTCAGGTATAGGGACAACTGCAATGGGGTTTTGTAGTAGGGGAAAGAAATCAGGCTCAACTCCAAATAGGAAAAGTGGGAATTTATAGCCAAGGAGCAGGGTGGGAGTCAGGGGATGGAAAATTACTGAGAGGAAACATCAGGGTAAAGTGACTGAATTCTTGCTGAAAGCAAGCCAGGGTGATCAGACATCACCTAAGGAATAGTAGTGGATGAAGAACTTGATCAGATATTGAGGATGAGGGTTCTGGCTAAACTGACTAGACAGGATTGATGCTAAAACTGGACAATGCAGAGATGAACATGGAAACTCAAAAGTCAGGACCTAATTGGGAAGAGTTTAGAGGAGCCTGACTTGAGTTTGGTCAAAGGAGAGAATCTTTGCCAATTATGAAACTAACACATGTTGAAAAAACTGAAAAACACCACCCAGAGATAACCAGGTTTCTAAACAAAACAGGCTATATTTCATTTGCTTAATAGGAGAAAAAACAATTGCTGAATTTCAATTATAGATTTAATTGAATAAGCATTACACAATACCCTATTACTATTACAACTTACCTGTTTATCATACAGGATTTTCTAAAAGTTGGTTTGAAAACAGTTATTTAAGATCAAACTGCAATTATTTGATGAACATGGAAAATATTAACAAAAATAATAGTAACAAATATTAGTGATTATTTAAAAAAAGTATAACTGCTTGCATCTTAGAGGTTGATTTTAACCTAACTTAGGATACAAATGCTTGGTTTTAATATAAAAATGGCTTTTTGTTATTGTTCTTAGAGTGTTAGGTGAATTTTTTACTTAATTTTTTAAAATTTATTTTCAGATAGCTAAAATTGGTGCTTTCTGCTGTGGCCTTAGCTTATGTAACCAGCACACAATAATACTCTATGTTTTGTGCATAATACCTTGGATTCTCTTTCAACTTTTAAAAAAGAAGGTAGGTTTTTGAGTTTTGTAAAAATAAAAATGTACAATATTTTACTTAGGTTTTATATAACATTTTTATCATGAGAAAATTTCAGACTTTAATTTTTCTTGGGTTTCATGTAAAGCATAAATAACCCTAGGGCCTAACAATATTGACTGAAAAAAATAGGATTTACAAAAATTATGCGGTATTGATTGCAGTGGCATCTGGCCTGTTCCATAATTTTGTGACTGATTCTGAATAGCATCTCGATGAAAGTAGGCTGAAAGGACTTAAAGCAACAATATAAAATTTTCTTAATTATCATTTTATACATTCTAAGACACAGAGTGGTGTGCCATCATATTTCATTTATTTAACTGTGTGCCGAGTCCTTGCCCTGTGCCATATGCTTGCTCCAGGTGCTGAAGAGTCAGCTCTCAACAAAACAGACATCACTGCTATTGTGAACTAAATAATAAAATCTCTGGTAACAGTGTTGTTTTCTCAAAATAGATTCCCTAGAATTAAAAAGGATTTATTGTTATTTCTTCTCTGAAAGAAAAAAAAAATGATTGTTAATTAAAATGGCAATATAAAGCAACATACGAAAATTACTTCATTAGGCAATGAGAGATTTAGGTACCCAGAGGTTAAAGTAGTCTATATACAAAGCCAGCACTAGAGTCTTTTTACCTTATTGTTTGTTTGTGTACAAACTCAGCTTTACTTGTCCTTTTATTATTTGTTCATTATACCCAGCTATAATCAGAATTACAATAGAAAACATATAAAACAAATAAAATTATTATCTAGAGATAGGGAAATAATTATACCAAAGCTTTAGATAGCTTTATTTACTGTGCTTGAACACATTAGCTTCTTAACAGTAAAGCAAAAAGGGTAACATGGAGGTTATAAAATTTTTATGATGTGATTAAAAAGTAAGTAAAAGGGGCTGGGTGCGGTGGCTCACGCCTGTAATCTTAGCACTTTGGGAGGCCAAGGCAGGTGGATTGCCTGAGCTCAGGAGTTCGAGACCAGTCTGGGCAACACGGTGAAACTCTGTCTCTACTAAAAATACAAAAAAAAGTAGCCAGGCGTAGCAGTGTGTGCCTGTAGTCCCAGTTACTTGGGAGGCTGAGGCAGGAGAATCGCTTGAACCCAAGAGGCGGAGGTTGCAGTGAGCCAATATCGTGCCACCGCACTCCAGCCTGGGTGACAGAGCAAGACTCTGTCTCCAAAAAATAAAAATAAAAAATAAAATAAAATGAGTAAAAGGGAAACATAGCAGTTGACAGGAAAGAACTTTTCGTTGGCACTGAATTTTGTGAAGTCAATCATGTAGGTCCTTATGTAAAGCTTATTAAACGGCATAACAAGCAGTGTCTTTAACAGTGGTTTTATAGTGTATATAGTAAGTTCTTTATATGGCCTTTTATTATGTAAACGCTTGATTAAAAATGGAGGTATGAAATATAACTCAGTGAATCTTTTCTGTGGAATACAAGAAAGAGGCCCAAATATTTCTCTTGTGAATCAGTGGGGGTAGATGGATTCATCTCCCTCTAATATCAGTCATCTTAGCCAGGCTTCTAACCTGAACAGACATCAGAGGGGTGCATTCTCAGCACATATTTCACGTTAATTGATTGAAAGGAGAGACATGTAGTTTCTGTAAAACATGGAGGATTCACAGTTGATAATTTTGGAGCCTGGACTAAGGGCCTGTTTTCCCTGTACTGAGGTAAGCTACAGAGAGTGATGAAATTGTGAAAACTGTGACTCTTTATTTCCCATTAGTTAAAAAGCAGAGGCTAGAAAATAAGGCCTACCAATGAAGTAACAGGGTAGTTGGATCTCACTGTGAGGTGATTTGAGACAGAGCAGAAAGTCCTGAGTCAGTTGGTTTCAACCCTGGCTGCTTACTTATCTGAGAAACTTTTTAAAAGTTCGTGTTTGTTTGTGTGTATATATACACAAATGTACCTATGTATATGGTAATGTAGGTACATATGTGTATGTGTATCTATATGTACATATATACATGGGGTGTGTGTGTGTGTGTATATATATATATTTATTTATTTATTTATTTATGCTAAAACTTGATTCTACCCCAAAATAATTCTGATATAAATGATCTGGGGTGAGGCCCAGACATCAGTATTTTTAAGAAGTTCCCCAGGTGATTTTAATGTGCAGTTAGGATTAGGAACCACTTATTCCCCAACTCTGCAATAGCTCTTATGCAATTGTCTCCCTGTTTATTTTTCACACAAAAGGAAAATTCTGCAGCAACTCATCTTACCAATCTAAATTCAACTTTATAATATGCAGAAACTGTGCAAAAATAAGCATTTACTTTCTTTAAAACTAATTTTAAGAATAGCAAAGGCATGTTGTTAGATTAGTTATTTCTTACACTCCTTTCATGCCATCATTTTTTTGCATCTCATTACTGCTATAGAAATCTCAAATGAAATCAGTACTGTAATAAAACACTTCATTTTCAATTACAAATGTTTATTTGAAAATGCTAATGTAAATCAACTGCTTGTTCTACCTCTGGTGAATGTGAACCTTGATTCTTATATTCATTCTCACATATGAATTTCTCTTTTTTGTAAAGGAAAAATTGGCAATTTCCAAATATGATATTTGTGAGAGAACACCTCTCCCAGTTACTAAAGTAAGCAGTATTTGAATCTTGGTTCAGATACACAGGAATTGATTGAATATACCAGAATTCATATTCTTTTGGATTTAATATTTGTAAAACTTTGCCAATATTGTCCTTTAAGAAAAGTATTTTACAAATGAGAAATATGTTTTCCCAAATAAGGTATATGAAGCAGCATTTTTATAACAACTAATTTTCTTTAATTAGGGGAAATTAATTGTAAATTGAGGGGGGAAAAAAAGCATTTGAATGAGCTTGGAGTTTATATAAAAGCTAGTTGCATTTATGCCAACATTGAAATGTTCAAAACCCTTGTTGAAAGAATTGTCAACGTATAATCATAATAATATATATAGTTGAAGTCTACTCCTAATGATGATGATAAAGTGAATTGGTCTTAGAATTGTATTTTGGGCATATTCAAAATCAGCCAAACAACACATAATCACTTCCAAGCAGGTTATCTTAGCTGTGCAATGCTGCTTGTCATGACATGGTTTTAAATGTAAGTGATGCAGTAAACATGATACTCATGAGCCTTTGCTAATATTATTTGCTTCACTCAGCTTTCACCTGCCATGCAAAGGAGTTCAGGCTGATGCAATTTTCTAGTAATCCATAGTAATCAGAAGGTTTAACATAGTATTCTGTGGTGACTTAATATAAATTGGGAGATCAGCTCTGAGTAAACATATTTGGTGTTTTCCTTGATATGTTCTTGAAGTTGCAGGATGAATCTACTAAAATAAACATTGTTTTACCACCCGATGTGCTCTGATGCAGGAACTCTCCCTGGGCTCTTTGTTGAAGTTGAGCCTGTACTTCTCTGCTGGTTTGCTGCCCTATGTCCACCTTCCCATCTCATCTTACCTTAATCATGCCCGGTGGACCTGGGGAGACCAGACAACGCTGCAAGGATTTTTGACACATTTTCTCAGGGAAGAATATGGAACCTTCAGCCTGGTAAATTCAGATTTAAAGCCCTTCTAAGGAAACAAGTGGCAAAACTTCAGTGTTCTACCTGGGCCTTGATTAAAAAAAACAATATTTATCAGTGACAGTGGATCAGATTTTTATTTTGGTTATTTATGTAACAAACTTGCCCCTTGGAATAGGGCCTTTGATATATGTTAGAGAAAAGTTGGAATCACTTAATTTAACATCATGTAGTTGTATATCCTGAATATACTTTTTAGGATAGCAATCATTAAAAAGTCTTCCACCTACAGTTGAAGAATTTCAGTCTTGTTAGCAGTGAGTCACTATGGGCAATTGATCTGTGAATAAAACTATTTGGAAAAGATCGAAGGAAAAAAAAAATCCTCCATTTAAAAAATTTTCTTTGACCAAACCACTTCTTATTATTTATTTTTTTACATATTTCATGAACAGTGTTTATGTTAGTATCTAGTTTTTAAAACTCAAGACATATCTGTAAATGCCTCATAAGATATGAGTTCACTAAATGGAAACAGTGTGCTCCAAAGAAGTTGAAAAGGCCTTGCTTTTCCTAAGACATATTAAGGGAACACACTAAATATAGTCACAGTAAAGATAATCTGAAAAATGAAAGGATAAGCAGAAGATTTTTTATTTTCATATAGACAGTTATATCAGGTTTTTCTTTCTTGGTTTGTCCTTTTGTGTCCTACTTAAGAAGGCAAGTCTCAGAAGAGTATGTAGTATATAATACCACTTATACAGAACTCTAAACCATGCAAAAACTAAACAATCTATTGTTCAAGGGTACACACAAAAGTAGTAGAACTATGTATTTATAAAAAATAGGGAAATAATTAACACCAAATTCAAGGTAGTAGTTACTGCTGTGGGATAAGGGAGAAAAAGTCTTTGAGGGCTTTGTGAGATACCTTATGATCTTGATTAGGTTTTGTTTCTTGAATGATGGATCTGTAGATTTTTAAAAAGCTCTTTGACCCTTAAAGATGTATTATATATGTTTTTTGTATGTAGGAGATGTTTCATAATAAAATAGAATAATAAAAAGGAAAAATATTAATTATTTTGACTTAGAGAGTTTGATACTTTACATTTATATTCTGCTTTACTTATTTTGGTTATTCCATAAAAATATTGTCTGAAGACCATTCTAGATTTGAAATTTATATAATTCATACATAATTGTGAAATTATAGATGAACAGGTTGTAATGAATTTTAATCAAAGTGCTCATAAAGAGCTTAAGGAAAGTCTATCATGGAAGTATAAAAAGGTTATTAATTTATTAACATGTAAATCATTTTTGCTGGAATAGTTCAACTGATTTCTAACCAATTATTGTTTCTTTTTTTTTTTTTTTTTTTGAGACGGAGTCTCCCTCTGTCACCCAGGCTGGAGTGCAGTGGCGCGATCTCTGCTCACTGCAAGCTCCGCCTCCCGGGTTTACGCCATTCTCCTGCCTCAGCCTCCGGAGTAGCTGGGACTACAGGCACCCGCCACCTCGCCCGGCTAGTTTTTCGTAATTTTTAGTAGAGACGGAGTTTCACCGTATTAGCCAGGATGATTTCGATCTCCTGACCTCGTGATCCGCCCGTCTCGGTGTCCCAAAGTGCTGGGATTACAGGCTTGAGCCACTGCGCCCACCGCTTTTTTTTTTGTTGTTTTTTGAGACAGAGTCTCACTCTGTCGCTCAGGCTGGAGTGCAGTGGAGTGCTCTCGGCTCGCTGCAACCTCCATCTCCTGGGTTCAAGTGATTCTCCTGCCTCAGCTTCCTGAGTAGCTGGGATTATAGATGTGCACCACCATGCCCGGCTAAGTTTTTGTATTTTTAGTAGAGACGGGGTTTCACCATGTTGACCAGGCTGGTCTTGAGCTCCTGACCTCGTAATCCACCCACCTCAGCCTCCCAAAGTGCTGGGATTACAGGTGTGAGCCACCGTGCCCAGCCTGCCAATTATTACTTCTAAAATTCTCCCTAAACGATGTCCAAATTAGTTTTCACTGACTTCTCTTTAAAAATTCAATAAGACTCTGAACTAAAGACTTTGAGTGAAGAGAAATGATACATTGTACATTTAAAACCTGTATCTTTTAGACATACACACAGCCAAAAAGCATATGAAAAAGTGCTCAATATCACTAATCATTAGAGAAATGAAAGTTGGAACCACAATGAAATACCATCTTACACAAGTCAGAATGGTTATTATATGAAAAAGTCAAAAAACATACTGGTGAGGTTTTGGAGAAAAGAGAATGCTTACACACTGCTAGTGGGAGTGTAAATTAGTTCAGCCATTGTGGAAAGCAATGTGGCGATTTCTGAAAGAACTTGAAACAGAATTACCATTCAACCCAGCAATCCCATTATTGGCCATATATCCAAAGGAATATAAATTGTTCTGCTATAAAGATACATACGCACATATGTTCATCACAACACTATTCACAATAGAAAGACATAGAATCAACCTAAATGCCCATCAACAGTAGACTGGATTTTTTAAAATGTGGTACATATACACCATGGAATACTACACAGCCATAAAAAAGGAATGAGTTAATGTCCTAAGTGAACTAATGCAGGAACAGAACACCAAATACCACATGTTCTCATTTATAAGTGGGAGCTAAACATTGAGTACACATGAACACATGTGTGCTTGAGGGCAGAGGGTAGGAGGAGGGAATGGATCAAAAAAAACTACCTATTGGGTACTATGCTTATTACCTGGGTGATGAAATCATCTGTACACCAAACCCCCTTGACATGCAACTTAACCTATGTTACAAACCTGCTCATGTACCCCGGAACCTAAAATAAAAAAAATTTAAGAAAACCCATGTCTTTTAAGTCAAGATTGTTAAAATACAATAGCCTAATAAAGCTTCAGTTTAATGCTTATGCAAATAAACGTTGGTCTTTTGTGTTTAGGCCAAATCTGAAATAGGATCCAGTATGTCTGAAATATTGCTGTGAGTATGAAATATTTGAAACTATTTTAAAATGAATTCTCTATTAGTTCCTTTAAGTGATTTTAGGGATTTCTGAGTTCATCTCTTTGTAACAAAGTATGTCTGAGAAGTAGTTTTTACCTCTACAGTTGACAGTTGTTTGTATTTATAGTTGTGCCTCGGTATCCATGGGGTATTGGTTACAGGAACTCCTGAGGATGTAAAACTCCATGGGTGCTCAAGTCCTGATATAAAATGGCATAATATTTGTATATAACCTGTGTACATCCTCTTGTATACTGTAAATCATTTCTAGATTACTTATCATACTTAGTACAATGTCAATGCTGTGTAAATAGTTGTTATGCTGTATTGTCTAGGGAATTATGACAAGAGAAAACATCTGTATATGTTTGTGCAGACAGTTTTTTCCCCAGAGTTTTTTGATTTAAGGTTAGTTGAATCCACGGAGGCAGAACCCATGGAGGCAGAGGGCCAACTGTACTCTCAAATATTTTTAGCACCTCCTTCAATAAGATAGAGCTTAAAATGAGCAATAAACAACAACAGTGAATATTAGAATACTATATAGAGTATTCATAGAACGAAAATGTTTCAACCTTCAATTGAACAACTGTTTTCTTGTTATTTTGGTTTTTAGTATTTCAGAGCTTAATTTATGTAATGTCTCCTCTGACTTCCTTAGGCTATCCTTGCCATAAGCTCTATCTTTGGCTTCCGTATTTTTAACATCCAACCTTATTAGAGCTGGCTTAAGCAAATATATTTTCATCTATATTATTTAATAGTGTTCTTTGAAAACTGGGTTAATATTTGCTTTAAAACCTACAGATTAAGACAAGTGGAAAGATATCCATACCAACCTGATACAAAATTTTGGAAGAAAATAGGTTTCTACAACACTGAAGTGATGTCCTAACTAATTACTAATTTGGAACTCTTGGGGCTGTTTGGAAAAAACTGTGAGGAGAATATTTCAACTTTATACGTGAGGCAGTTTATGAGTTCTCACAATTTCGGTGTAATTTACTTACTAGCTTGCTTTCTTCCAGCCATCCTTCCTTCCTTTCTGTTTAAATGACTTCTTTTTTCTACTTCAAAAAAGGTACATAATCTTTATAGAAAACTTAGAAAATACAGGTAAGCAAAAATAAGAAAATTAAAACTACCTATAAATCCAACATTCAGAGATAACCACTATTATTAATCTGTTAATATTTTGGACTACATTTTTCTAATATTTTTAGGATTTTTGTTTCTTTTTAAAAGTAGGATCATAGTAAACATACTGTTTCATTAGCCTGCTGTTTTCTACTTTACATTATATCTTGGAAATATCTCCCTGCCATCAGTTACTTTCACATAACCTTTTGATGGTTCTCACCATTGATTTTAAATATTTCTTTTTATGTGTGAGACTTTTGTGGCTCTCTCATTTTCACTGGGAGAATGTAACAAGAAGCTCAGTTTTCTTTTCAAAGATAAAGATGGCACTAGGTGCAGTGGCTCATGCCTGTAATCCCAGCACTTTGGGAAGCCAAAGTGGGAGGATCGCTTGAGCACAGGAGTTTGAGACCAGCCTGGGCAACATAGTGAGACCTTGTCTCTGCAGAAAAAAAAAAAAAAAAAAAAGTTTTTTGAGGTGGAGTCTTGCCCTGTCACCCAGGCTGGAGTGCAGTGGTGAGATCTCTGCTCACTGCAACCTCCGCCTCCCGGGTTCAAGCGATCCTCCCACCTCAGCCTCCTGAGTAGCTGGGATTACAGGTACGTGCTACCACACCCAGCTAATTTTTGCATTTTTAGTAGAGACAGGGTCTCGCCATGTTGGCCAGACTGGTCTCAAACTCCTGGCCTCAAGTGATCCACCTGCCTTGGCCTCCCAAAGTCCTGGGATTACAGGAGTGAGCTAACACAACCAGCCTACAAAACATTAAAAAAAAAAAAATTAGACAGGCATAGTGGTATGCACCTGTAGTCACAGCTACTCAGGAGGCTGAGGTGAGAGGATCACTTGAGCCCAGGAGGTCGAGGCTGCAGTGAGTCCTCATCGTATCATGCCACTATACTCCAGCCTGGGCAACAGAGTGCGACCCTGTCTCGATAAATAAATAAATAAAATAAAGATAAAGACAGGCATATGTCATATCAATGTCTCTGAGCTTTCATTTTATTCTGCTTTGCTCCATGCAGGACTCACTGCCTGCCCTTTTCTATCTACCTTCCAGAGATTGTTATAGCATTAAGGATAGCTGTTATATTTTGCCTTAGCAAACCCTACATGAACTCCAAAGAACGCTAGAGAGTAATCCTAGACCATATGTCTAACTTTTATTAGTTGCACGTAAAAGTAATCTATTGAGACCCTTAATGGCCTCCTTCATATTAAAATAATAGCAGGCTGTATACCCAGAAAAAAAGACGTGACAAAAGTGATGACCACTCACACCCACACTTTTGTGTGGACCAAGTCGTCATGTAGAATGAAGGCATAATCTTAGCACTCCCTGAATGAGAATTTCTAGTCTTTAATTGTTTCAGGTGGGCAGGAATGTTGAAAAAGGCAGCTGATAATTAACTTATGAGAAAATCCTTCAAAATGATAGAAGCTAATCATCTACCCTTTTCCAGTCAAGCAAATTAAATTTTTTCCCCATGCATATCTCTAAATTGCAATCCTGTACAAGGAAATTATTGAATCTAACCTTAGGCAGTGACCATCTTTTAGCGCTTACACTTAAGCGATAGATCTCCAAGAATTAATTTTGAGACTGACTTCATTCCTTTTGAAGAATGGTTTGAACTGGGCCTCATGCTGGAATCAATTTTTCAAGTGTATTTGAAAATGAGTAAGGACGTCTTCTCATAGTAGATGAGTCTTCATTAGTAAAATACACATTGTATGGTTTCCATAATTATGGTATCACATTTTCTCCAGTAAAATTGCCGGTAGGGAGAAGAAAGTTATTTGAGATGATGTATAGAGTCATTTCTTTTTTAAAAATTGGAGACAGCTAGAGCAGAAGCTATTTTAGAACTCACATAATAACTTAAAATGCATATGAGTTAATGGAAAAATTTAGTTTATTTGTAGGAAAAAGAATAATACATTTCTCTGAGATTGCTTAAATGTTTTTTGAACCAAAACAAATGATATAGAAAACAAGGAAATCATTTAAGGAAAAAGATAACCCACAAAAGAATGGCTGGGAATTCTCTCTCATGGCCTTTATTTTCTTCATATTAGATCTCCAGAAAGCTATTTGAATTAATTTTGTTATTAGTTGCTAAATCACTAGAGGCCATGTCTACACTGCCAACAGAAAAAAGTTCAGAAATTCATTTCAAACAGCTTCCTATCAAACCAGTCGCGGATATTCTATGCAGTATACCAATATCAAAAATACAGAAAAATTATTTGTCTTGATTCTATTCCAAATTATGTAAGTTGGTAACCAAATGTTACCATTGGAAAACATCTTGGAACTATTTAACTCTTTCTATTGCACTTTTTCTTCCAACTTTAAAAGACACAATTTGAAAATCTGACCCAAGCCCAGTGTATAATCAAATGTATCCTACAAGGAATGTTTTACATGGAATTAATGAAATTTGTTTCCTGCCAACAATAAGTTAGGTTGTTTTTTGCAGTTCTCAAGTAACAAATATGAGGACCGAACTCTCATTCAACATCCAAGCCCTTGCAGTTTGTGCAAATATATGTTTAGCAAGAAAGTAAGTAATACAATTCCTTTTCCTGTTATTTTTCTATGTTCATGAGTTGAATTAATGTTTTCAGTATGTCACTGTAGGACATTGCCAGTATTATTTTATACTCCAAATAAATGACTCTCCTAGCTATCTATTAAAATAAATATGTATTGTTTTCTTACTTTTATTCTGATTCTAAATCAATGATTTCAAGAAATTGAGCATTATATTACTGTCTAAGTAGGCAGTCATTTGATGTCCTAAACTTCAGGTTTGATTCCTTACTCTGCCATAACCGATTATTATTGCTGATTTTAAAAAGAAGCTATTATTTAAATTCCTCTGATGATAAAAGTAATCCCTGATGACAAAAGAAACCCTGGAAAATGCAGCACTGTAAATCTCCATTAATTTATTCATTTATGATCTAGTCTGTTGAATGTATGTATTTGTATGTAAATATATATGTGTACATATATCTATAGTTTTGTTTACTTGACACTTAAACATTTTATTGTGAACAGTTTTTCATACTATAAAAATACTTAAAATCATTTAAATGTCTATGTAATAGAACATCCTATGACCATAGGAGAATTAATTTAACTGTTCTTCTATTGAGAACTCTTTAGATTGCTTCCACTTTTTCCACTATTATAAGTAATACCAAAACATTTTTATGGATTAATCTTTATTTACATTTCTGGTTATTGCTTAAAGATTTATGCCTGCATGACAAATAACTAAGTCAATGATTATTAATATTTTAAGGCTTCTAATAAAAATATTATCAAATTAACTTTTCTGAAGGATTATACTAACATTTATTGTCATACCACTGCATTCACACCAACATTGAGATTTCTTGTTCTTAAATCTTTATTATTTCAAGCATGAAAATATTTGTATTTTGCCTATATTTGATCACTTCTGAAATTTAACAAAATTAGTAGTTTGCATTTCTTCTGTGAATGTTAGTTAGCTTTATATCCTTTACTGTGTAGTCCCAAGTTGTAGTTCGAGTTTATTACTATATTTTGGTTGTTTCAACTCAGATTTTAAAAACCGAGATCTCTCTTTGCTTCTAGTTAAAAATGGAAAGTTTTTATAGATCTAATAGTTTAAAGTCCTGTGATATTATATTTGACATTCATGTATATAAATATTTTAGACATTTTTATTATTTTTTGTAGGGACCGACAGAATCCATCATTAGTATGGCTTTTTACTGGGATGTTCTGCATTTATTCATTGTTCTTTGCTTGGAGAGCAAATTTAGATATTTCAAAACCACTTTTCATGGGTGTGGTAAGTTTTACTTAGATATATCCTTTGACCAGAAAGTTTGTGAAGAATGTACAAATTTGCATTTCATAAATCTTGTAGAAGAGCAAATTACTTAAGGAATAGTTAAAATTTTATATACATTTTTATAAATCAAAGTTAAATTATTGAGCCAATACAGCTAAGGCCTCTTTTTAGGATAAAAAGAATGCATTGTTTCATTAACACAGTTGTTAAATAGAAAAATGAATGTAAAGTAGATTTAAGTCAGTCATTGTATGTGTGTGTGCTTGCAAATATAGGTACAACTGCATTTCTCCTGGAATTTTTTTAATAGCAAAAAAATATGAATTATAATTGAAGGCACTTAACAACATACATCCTTATTTCCTACCTACCCAGTCCGAGGCCTAGGCAAAAGAGCAACCGTGTTTCTGTTTTCTGTGGCAGCAGTCTCTGAGATTAGAGTATTTCTTCTACTTATAATAGAATCTCTGTAAATGTCAATAGCTCTTTTTTGACAGCTGAAACTGAGTGGTCTGTGTGTGTGTGTGTTTAGGAAGCCTAATAAATAATACCCTACTTGATCACCTGAGTTCTGAATCAATTGAGAAACAACGTAACACAGTACAACGGGTGGGAGAATCACTTTTAATCTGGTAATACTGAGATTGGAAAATGTGGCTTATATCTGTAGCCAAGGGGGCTTCCTCTTCCAGCATCCCAGAATAGGCAGATTTACCCACTAGTCATAAGCAGTACTGTGGAGGTCTAGCCTCTTCCCATGTCTTCCCCACCCAACTCGTGCCATAGAGATAGACTCTGGACCTGGACAGGTGCTTGCTGTGGGTAGCTCACTTCCAGGAGAAAGTGAGAGGAAAAGAAAGGGTGCTGCAGGTCCAGTCCCAGCTCCGAAACTCCCCAGTTGGATAAGTCCTTACATCCTATAGGAGGAAATATGTGAGGGGTCAGAGAGAGGCCAGGACAGTGGAGCTTCTCCCTGTGGAAGGAAATATCAGGAGGAAAGCAAAAGCATTCTCTGACTCCTTCAGCCTGTGTATTACTGGAGTTCAAGACGAAGGCCACAGTATTGAAGTGAATGTGTGGATCTAAAAAGGGAGATGCACTTGTCAAACTGGGAAGGAAGAATGTTTGAAAATAGAAAAATGAAATGACCTGGGCTTGGATTGGGGAAATCAGTTAACAAAACCTGAATGACAATAGGTACACACAACTAAATGCAGGCAGTATATTTTAAAAATATATAAGTAGCTGACTGATAGCATAAACTAGTCAACTGGACCTACTGATTGCTTGTCTCTTTCACAGGTGGAACGATTCTGGATGCAGAGCAATGCGGTAGTGGCCGTCCTCGCTGGCATTGGTTTGGCTGCAGTTGTGTCTGAGACTAACAGAGTGCTGAATAGCAATGGGCTTCAGTGTCTGGAATGGCTTTCTGCAACTCTTTTTGTAGTTTACCAAATATATTCTAATTACAGGTAACACATGGTTATTTTTATGAAAAGTAGCTGTCAAGCCAGAGATACCTGAATATTTAGATTCTAACACTTTATTTCATTTTTAACTTCTACTGGTTTTCAGGACTCAAAGTGAGACAGCTTGGTTGAATGCAGTAGTTCTTTAGCTTTTAGGGTTGTTAAACCTCCTGAACCAGAATCTTAGTATGGGCGACGTATGGTTTCAGGCCATTGCAAACAAGGGTTTAGGTGATGCATGTAGACTATTTGTATCTTTTTCTCTAAAGAACTCAAGAGATACTTTTAGAATCCCTAGTATAGGTAAAATTTCATGACCTAAAATACCACTTAGATGGAGAGTAAAATGATTTAGAGTTTTTTGTATACCCTAAAATAATTCACTTTATGCTTCCCTTTATGTCCAGTTTACTCTGTAGTAGTAAATATTAACTTTTTTTTTTTTTTGAGACAAGGTCTTATTCTGTCCCCTAGGCTGGAGTACAGTGGCATGATTGTAGCTTACTACAGCCTTGAACTCCTGGGCTCAAGCAGTCCTCTGCCTCAGCCTCCTCAGTAGCTGGGACTATGGACACCTGCCACCATTGGCATGCCTTTTTTCTTTCTTCTTTTTTTTTTTTTTTGTAGAGACAAGGTCTCACTATGTTGCCTAGGCTGGTCGCAAGCAAGCCTCCCTCTTCAGCCTCCCAAAGTGCTGGAATTATAGGTGTGAGCCACTACACCAGCCTTAATTATTTTAAAATTAAGTTCCAAAGTTTCTTAACTCATATATTATTACTATTACATATATTTTTCCAAATCTGTTTAATAACCATTATAATAAGAATCTCAGTCTAACATAAAGATGTCTAAGTCTTAGACTATAGTTCGTTTATTTCTAGCAATATCAAGTACACATTATGGAACTGGAAGAGAGAGTCCCTTAGAATTTTGCTATAGTGAGATTTAACTGGTATTATTTTAAAGGATTAAATTTTCTCTTTTAACTTAACTTTAAAAACCAATGTTCTTACCATTCAACCCTGCAATCTTATTACTGGGTATATACCCAAAGGAATAGAAATCATTCTACCATAAAGACACATGCATGCGAATGTTTATTGCAGTGCTATTCACAGTAACAAAGACATGGAATCAACCTAAATGCCCATCAGTGGCAGATTGGAAAAAGAAAAAGTGGTCCATGTGTACCATGGAATACTATGCAGCAATAAAAAGAATGAGATCATGTCCCTTTTAGGAACATGGATGGAGCTGGAGGCCATTATCCTTGGCAAATTAACACAGGAACAGAAAACCTAATACTGCATCTTCTCACTTACAAGTGGGAGCTAAACGATGAGAACTCATGGATACAAAGATGGGGAACAACAGACACTGGGGCCTACTTGAGAGTGGAGGCTTGGAGGAGGAAGAGGATCAGAAAAAAGTAACTATTGTGTACCAGGCTTAGTAACCTGGGTGACGAAATAATCTGTACAACAAACCCTGTGACACGAATTTACCTGTATAACAAATAACAAACCCACACATGTACCCCTGAACCTAAAATAAAAGTTAAAGAAAAACACACAACATTGTTCTTTATAATACTGGGGTAGAGCTGGTGTTAGGAAGGCCAGCAGGAGACCTTGAGAGAAGGGGCTGCATGTCCTGGACACAACATCATCGCTAGCTCAAGCAGGTGCACCAAACTCACAGTGTGTTTCCCAGCCTTTTCTTATCCCAGTCATCTCCTGGCTCAGGCCATTCGGGCAGTCCAGGTTCGACCCCAGACGTGTTTGCACAGGCTAGGTGTTTTTATCTTGTTTTGATTTTTTTCATTTGCCCCAGGGGAATGGAATACGTAGCACCTTTGCTAGATGGCAAAATGTGCCTCATCACTCTGCAACATAGGGAAGCAGGTAGGAAACAGTAATTTTTACATCGATTACAAAGGCAGGGATAGTATTCTGTTCCTAGAGGTGTTCCTTTGCTTTGTGATACTAACCCAGGTATTCAACTTGAGGCTGTGTTTCTCAGCTCCGTCAAATGTAATGGACCTGATAACAACAGAAAGGACATTGCTTGTCTCATTTTTTAATACTAATTACTGTTTTGTCGTCTTTTTCTTTTTTCATAGAACGCTCTTAGAACTCATGGCAGTTTTTCTTTGAAGTTAGAAAGTTCACTTCATTCTTGAAAAGGATGAAGTTATTGGCAATAGCAAATAATGCCTGGAGAGAAGTAAACAACTCAGGAAACTCTTCCTCCCCTTGCTTCTCATTGGTCTCATCCCCTAGCGATTTCTTGATCTCCAAAGGCAGAGAGGAACACAGGAGGGGAGAAGTGGAAAGGATCAACCTCCACATGCAAGAAAATCATACAAATGTCATACAAATTCAAGTCAGAAATGGGCAGATTTCCTTTTGCATTTCTGAAAGTTCCTTTGAGTAAATGGAGTTAACATAAAATTGCCTTAAATTCCAAGTGGAATCAGAAATCTTAATTTCTAAAAATAAAATTGGATTGCACTTAGGGGGAAAAAGGACCTGTTCTTGTGTACTGATTCCCTCTTTGTGGGGGTGATTATAAACTCCAGAAGTAAGCAGTAGACTGATTTTTTTTCAGTTGCACAATTAGCTGCTGTTTATCAGACGATAATATTCTTTCTTCAGATATATGTATTATTTTAGAATATATTGAAACACTGAATGTTTATTGTATGATGGGAAAAGAATGGCATTGAAAATAAGCCTAGTCTTGTTAAAACTGTAGCAAAGTGTTGCTATTTTAATTTTTTTGGACCCTTTTATTTAGCATTTGTGACCAAAGGACCAACTATGTGATCGATAAATTCGCAAAGAACCTTCTCACCTCTATGCCTCATGATGCAATTATCTTACTGAGAGGAGATTTGCCAGGAAATTCTCTCCGTTACATGCATTACTGTGAGGGGTTGAGGCCTGACATTTCGTTAGTGGATCAGGAAGTAAGTATATGAAACATATACTTAGAATATAGCAATGATTTAAAAACATGTTTTGGAAAAAACATCTTTTTTAAAATGGTGGGTACCATTTTCATGATCACTGTTAGAATATATATGACATTTTACATGTTAGGTAGAATATATATGAGCATACTTGTTTTTTTATTTTAACTAATAGCGTAAGTCACACTAGTTGCTTCTCATTTAAAAACATTTAAACTGAATGTTTTAAGAATTAATGTGTTTCATGTTAGATTCATAATATTTTAGGCCTCTCGTTCATGTGACAAACCATAAAAGTGTTCGTTGTATTGTAAATCTATTTTTAAATTGTTATTTTACATTCAGGCCGGGCGCAGTGGCTCATGCCTGTAATCCCAGCATTTTGGGAGGCCGAGGCAGACAGATCATGAGGTCAGGAGATCAAGACCATGCTGGCTAACACGGTGAAACCCCCTCTCTACTAAAAATACAAAAAATTAGCCGGGCATGGTGGCACACGCCTGTAGTCCCAGCTACTCGGGAGGCTGAGGCAGGAGAATGGTGTGAACCTGGGAGGCAGAGCTTGCAGTGACCCAAGATTGCACCACTGTACTCCAGCCTAGGTGACAGAGCGAGAGTCAGTCTCAAAAAAAAATTGTTATTTTATGTTCAGCTAACTCAACCATTCGAATTTACCTTGCCCATTGGTCCAAGGATTAAAATAAATTATATTGAATATGAAATAAATCATACTCTAGGTAAGTAAACATTTTACTCAAAATAGAAATTTTTAACTATAATTACGCTATAGAATTGTTATATAAACTTTGTTAATGCTATGACAAAAATACATTAAAAGAGGACTTGTGAAAATTTTGAGGGCTATGAAAACATTTTTTTTTTCATTGAAGAACTATTTAAACTGTAAGATTTATTATTTGAGCCATAGATTCGTAAAAGGGAGGAAGCCTGTCTCTGGTGTTTTTAGAGCAGTCATTAGGAAAAGAGAAATTCTTAATCTTAAAAGAATAATATGATGAATTCAATTGAACAAATTATTAGGCATAGTACTGAATGCATTTTATTGAATTAATGAATAATTATAATTTTTGGAGAAAACTTTGAACAGGTTCGTAAATATACAGTTTTACATTTTAAGAAGCAGTTGCATTTATATCATGGATGCCGATTGATTAATTTGATCTTCAGTCTAGTTTCTGACAAAAGCTAGGTTATTTGTTAATAACGTGGTTCCACACTATGATTTTAAACACTGTTTAGGATGTCAGCTACTGTAGTTGAGAAGCATGGATTAGGAAGTGAATTAGACCTAAACTCAAGTCCTCATTCTGTCACTTCCTGGATGTGTGACTTGGGGCTAATGATTTTTCCTCTCAGAGCTTCTGTTTCCTTATTTATGAAATGTAAGTCATCATTACATAAGTTAGGATGCATTTGAATGCAAGAAACAGAATATCTGACTGAAATTATTGAGTTTTTAGCCTCACATGACGAGCAGTCTGGAGATAGGTGATGTTAGGATCACCTATCTAACATAATATGAGCAGTTCAGGGACGTCAGTTTCTGAGGCAGCTTTTCTGCCATTCTCTTGACTTTTCCCTCCCAGTCACAGGATGGATGCCCAGTTCCAAACATCACAACCTAAAACAAAGCACGGTGCTTCTTCTGGGTGTCTCCCTCTCTCTTTCTATTTACTGGGAATAACATGTGCCCCAGAAGTCCCTCAGCAGACCTCCACTCAGGCCCCACTGACCCATACTGAGTCATATACTCACACCTAAACTGCTCATTAGCAAAGGAGAACGACTAGACTGAAAACATTGCAGCCTGAGCTACCTGATCAAAATCAAGATTGCATTAGTGAAAAAGAAGAAGGTATTCACTGTGGAGTGGGCAATCAACAGTGTCTGATACAGTTATTCTCACATAGCAAGGTTATTATGAGAATTAAATGAGGAACAATAAAGTCCATAGCACACAGTGGGTATGTAATTAATGTTAATATCCTCCAGAACTGGAACTATTGGGCAATAAAACCTAATTCAGTAAGTATTTTTCTGAGTATTTACAGTTTAGACTTAGATTAAAATTACTTTGTCATTTGCTAGTTAAATATATAAGACAAGTAAAACATAAGCACAATTTCTCAAATGATGATATCCAAACATAACAAAGCTTTGGTGGTATAAATGGGAGTCTCGTCTTTAAAAAGAGGGAATGGATACATATCAAAGTATAGAGTTAAGTATGTATTAAGTATAGAATTAAGTAAAATGATTTTTTCTAATATAAGTAAATTATTTAAATCGAAAGAATGTGTAAACGTGTAAGGATATGTAATTAATATAGGGCTGCTAATAAATTCAGATAATTTGAAATGCCAAAAGAGTTTTTAACTTTGAGGCCTAGATTATTACATGATTGAGCTTCTCCAGGGCAGGGGTTATATCTTATTCATTATAGATGAGCATACTTGTTTTTTTGAATGAATAAAATAATGGCTATTTTGTCTAGGTTGTCTAGTCTGGCCATCAAAGGCATTTCAACTTCAGCAAACATAATTTGAGAACTGGCCAGGCGTGGTGGCTCATGCCTGTAATCCCAGAACTTTGGGAGGCCAACGCGGGTGTATCACTTGAGGCCAGGAGTTCGATACCAGCCTGGCCAACATGGTGAAACCCCGTGTCTACCAAAAACACAAAAATTAGTTGGGCATAGTGGCACGTGCCTGTAATCTCAGCTACACGGGAGACTGAGGTAGGAGAATCGCTTGAACCCAGGAGGCGGAGCTTACAGTGAGCCGAGGTCGTATCACTGTACTCCAGCCTTGGTGACAAAGTAAGACTGTCTCAAAATAATAATAAATGTGAGAACTATTCTATGCCAGCCGATGTGCTAGGTGCAGAGACACAGAGATGAAAAAATACAGTGCCTTTTCTCTAGGAGCTCACAGTCTGGTGAGGAGCAGGCTCTAATAGAGGTGAGTACAAAGTACTAGAGGAGCATGCCATTCTGGCTGTGGAGACAGAGGAGGGCATCAAAGGAAGTGACATTTACACTGGTTCTTAAAGTTGAATGCACGTTCTCTAGGTCAGTGGTCCCCAACCTTTTTACACCAGGGACCGGTTTCATGAAGGACAGTATTTCCACAGACTGGGGGTTGGGGGTGGGGGTGGGGAATGGTCTTGGGATGAAACTGTTCCACCTCAGATCATCAGGCATTAGAATCTCATAAGGAGCGTGTAGCTTAGATCCCTCACATGTGCAGTTCACAATAGGTTGACGCTCCTGTGAAAAATCTAATGCTGCCACTGATCTGACAGGAGGCAGAGCACAGCAGTAATGCTGGCCCCTGCTGTGCAGCCCAGTTTGGGGGCTCCTGCTCTAGGTATTAGAATGGGGGAAGATCCTTCTGGGGAATCAAATGTGGGAGGTAAATTGGAAGAAGGTACTGATGTGACTGATGATAGTCATAATAAAATCCAAGGTTTACCTCACTAAAAAAGTAATCATTACCACATTCTCAGTTGTGCTTATATTTTTCAATTATATATGTATTAGATTGGTGCAAAAGTAATTTAGGTTTTTGCCATTACTTGATAAACTTGATTCTTTTTAAGAAATATATTAAAAGTCTGACATCATGTGTGACTTTTCTGGCAGATGATGACTTATGAGTGGTATTTACCCATGATGGCAAAGCACTTGCCAGGTGTCAACTTTCCTGGGAACCGGTGGAATCCTGTGGAAGGAATATTACCTAGTGGAATGGTCACATTTAATCTTTATCATTTTCTTGAAGTAAATAAACAGTAAGCATTCTTTTTATGTAATAGCTTTTCTAAAATCTTAAGCTTTTCTGAAATTGTTTCTGTAGCAGCTGTGCCTCATCCAAAAGACCAATTTTCTATACCTATTTCCCTGTCACTGGTGAGATTATCTTTGTAATTAAATTGAATATCTGTGCATAAATAAGGCCAGGCAGAAATAAATGTTATTGTTTTGGGTAAAGGAAAAATAAAGACAGATTAGCAAGAACAGCAAATAAGATCTGAGTACAATTCACAGAAATTGGAGATGTGCCTGCCTACTTGAAATCATTGCAGGTGGATGGCAAGCAATTATAGTTCCCCTGATCAACACTATGGTCCCCCTTTTAAATGTAAAGCAAATGTTTTCAGGAATAATCACTGTATAAAAATAGCTTAAAGATTTTTATAAAGGATAAGACATTTTTATAAATAAGAAAAACACGTAGTTTATGCTAGCTGAGATAAAATATGAGAACTGTGAATTCTATACTTGAGAACATAAAATTATTTGTAGTTAGGTCAAGAATAAATAATTCCCCCAATGGTATAGTGTTGAACATTTCTTCTGCCATGAAGCGCTTAAGATTGTCCAGAGCTTGAAGAAGAAACACTTATTTCATGATTTCTTTTTTCTTATAAAGAAGACTTCAGAATGTCTTTTTAAATCCCAAAGTTAAATTATCCCTTGCTAAGAACATAATAATGTGGTATTTTGGGTGTTTAGAGCCTGAAGTTTATGTGGCTCATGGAGTAAACGAAAGTAATGGGTATAAATATGCTGTGAGAGTAACATTTAATTATTCTATTCTAGATAAAATATTAGGAACCATTAACATCCCCAAATTGGCATTTTTGTGAATTTTCAAGAATTCAATCCCACAAGCATTTACTGAATGTCTACTGCGTTACAACTTGTATTAGGCTCCGGCAGTAGAAAGATGAATGAGGTTCAGTTACAAATCCAAGTAGAACACAATCTAGTTGTGTACATACGTAGATGTGAATACGACTAGCCATAATTTGGTGGGATAAGTTCTATACTATCAATGCCTTGTAAAGTGTCAGACATAGTAAATGCTCAGTAGGTGTTTACTGAACAGATAGATAATTTAACTGACAACATATGCCAAGTATTCTGGCAGCATGGATAAGGAAGCCATTAATTCTGTTTGGGGACATTCATTCAGCATTTTTAAAATAAAAACTGCATGTCCAAAATGTTCCAAGAACAATATGATGGAAATGTCGTATGTTCTTTGAGGAAACTTAAACAACACAGAAAAGTATAAAGATGATCAGTATCATCTGTCTCCCAAGGACAGATGCTGTTAGTATTTTGATAAATATTGTTGGATTCCACTCATCTTTAACATGAATGACTTATTTTTAAAATACACATACTCATACATACTGTATTATAGATAGCTGAGATATCATTACCTGTCCAATTTTTTTTAACCTACCATTATATCATGAGCATTTCCCCATGTATATTATTGTCATTTTTGGCTAATATTCTCATAAGATGCATAATAATGTAACAAATATTCGATTTTTTGTGATATTCTGTTTCTAGACTTTTGCTATTATAATATACAATGATGATGAACATTCTGCCCCATAAAGTTTTATTGTTAATATTTTTGACTAACAAAGATCACTGCATAAATATGACTTATTAATATCAGTTCTTTAAATAGTTTTTAATTGTAAAAGTTGCATGTGTTTGTTACAGAATGAGAATTTTTTTTAAAAACTAGAAGAAAGCATTGTCCTAGTCACTCAGAAACAACACACATATAAAAAATGCATATGTCTTACAAAGGTAAAAGCATAAGTGTCCTGTTTTTTATACTTACTATCATAAAACAATTTCCTTCTGTTTTTACAAACTATTTGTAAATACATGTACTGTAATTTAAAAATAATAAGTGAATAAAACTATTAGGAGATATTTAACATGGTATCTAATTTTAACTATAATAAATTTATACCTACAACAACTGCTTTGTATATGTAGGTTTTTTTCTGGAGGGGCAGAATTTTAAATTATTAGCATCGATTATCAGAAGTAAAATTACTAAGTCAAAGGACATGCATTATTTAAAGGCATGTGATAGAGATTTTTTTTCCCCTCAAAGGGATGGACCATCGTCACATGAAAGTTATCTAAATGTGTACCTCTGAAAGGAAGCTAGCTAATGTTTAGTGAGCACCTATTATTTTAACAAGCAGTAATATTTACTTTTCTTTTTAGGGGGTGTGGTATACAGTTCTATGAATTGTAACACTTGTGTACATTTGTGTAACCACCACAGCAGTCAGGACACAGAGCAGTCCGTGATTCCATGAACTTTCCTGTGCTGCTCCCATATAGTCATACTGTCCCCTCCGGCCTAACCTTGGCAACCACTGATCTGTTCTTCATCATTATAGCTTTACCTTTTCCTGAATGTCATGTGAATAGAATCAAAGTATGTATGTAACCTGTTGATATTGGTATATTTCACTTAGTGTAATGCCTTTGAGAACCATCCTAGTTGCTGTGTGTATCGAGAGTTCATTCTTTTTGTTTCTAAGTAATGTTTCATTGTATGGATGTACTGTGGTTTGTTTATCCTTTTACTCATTGAAGGACAGTTGGGTTGTTTCCAGTTTGGGGTGTTTATACGTAGAGCTGCTATAAACGTTCATCTACGTTTGTGTGTGAGTATGTTTTTCTGCATAGGGTTGGGATTGAGTTGTTTGTTTTCTTATTGTTGAGTTTTGAAAGATCTGTATATGTTCTAGGTACACAACCTCTGTCAAATATGCAGTTTGTAAATGTTGTCTCGCAGTTAGTTGCTTGTCTTTTACAAGTGTCTTTTGCAGAGCAAAACTTTTTTATTTCTTTGAAATTCAAATCCAATTTTTTTCTTCTATGAATTATATTGTTGGTATCATATCTAAGAACTCTTTGCCTAATGCCAGGTCACAAAGATTTTCTCATGTTTTGTTCTATGAGTTCTGTAGTTTTGTTTTTGTGTTTGGATATCAAATTGTCCTTATACTCTTTGCTACAAAGATTATCCTTTCTTCACTGCATTATATTTGCACTTTTCTCTGTCTATACCAAAGGAAAAAAATCTTCTGGGGTTTTTTATTGGTTTTAACTTAATTCATGTTTTTGTGGTTTATCTTTTTCATCCTTTTGTTTCTAACCAACCTATATCATATTTAAAATGGGTGTTTTATAGACAGTATATATTTGAGTCTTGTTTTACTATCTCAGATATCTCTGTCTTTAATTGCTGTGTTTAGACCATTTGCTTTTAATATAAATATTGATACGCTTACATGTATGTCTGCTATTTTATTATATTTTTTAGATTAATTGACTTTTTGTATTTTTTTTTTTTTCTTTTGAGACGAAGTCTCACTCTGTCACCCAGGCAGGAGTACAGTGGCACAATCTTGGCTCACTGCAACCTCTGCCTCCCAGGTTCTAGCGATTCTCCTGCCTCAGCCTCTTAAGTAGCTGGGATTACAGGCATGTGCCACCATGCCCAGCTAATTTTTGTATTTTTGGTAGAGACAGAGGTTTCACCAGTTTGGCCAGGCTGGTCTCAAACTCCTGACCTCAAGTGATCCACCTGCCTTGGCCTCCCAAAGTGCTAGGATTACAGGCGTGAGCCACTGTGCCTGGCTGACTTTTTGTATTTCTTTTTGAAATGTGTATTGAGATTTTTTACTGTATCGCTTGGTAAAGTTTTTGTTGTTTAGTTTTTTTTGAAGTTGGTTGCTGTTGAGATTGCAGCATCCACACTTAACTTTTCATGGTCTACGTAGGAGTAATAATTTACCACTTCAAGCAGAATGTGGAAACCTTACTGCCATATAAGTCTTTTACTTTTTGTGTTATATGTTATATCAGATAGGGTCATTTTTATTTCAGTAGTCATACAGATATTAAAGAACTTAAGAGAAAAAAATAGTCTACAATATTTATTCAGATACTTACCAGATCTGTTGTTCTTTCTTCAATCCTGATATTCCACATTTTCCTCTTGTATGATTTCCCTTCATTCTGAGGATATTCCTTAAGCATTTCTTTTAAACCAAGACTATTAACAGTGAATTCTCTTAGTTTTCCTTTATCTAAAAATGTCTCTATTTCACCTTCTTTTTTGAAGAATATTTGTGGAAATAGAATTCTGGGTTGATAATACTATTTTCTTCAGCATTTTAAAAATAATACTTTAGGCTGGGCACAATGGCTCATGCCTGTAATTCCAGCACTTTGGGAGGCTGAGGCAGGAGGATTGCTTGAGCCCAGGAGTTCAAGACCAACCTTTACTACATAGGGAAACCCTGTTGCTACAAAAAAAAAAAAAAAAAAATTAGCTGGCCGTGGTGGTGCACACCTGTGATCCCAACTACTTGGGCAGCTGAGGTGGGAAGATGGTTTGAATCCAGGAGTTTGAGGCTGCAGTGAGCTATGATTGTGCCACTGTACTCTAGCCTAGGCAACAGAACAAAACCCTATCTCAAAAAAAAAAAAAAAAAAAAAAAGTAAGTTACATTTCTTTGGCCTGTGTAGTAGCTTCTAAGTAGAAATCTATGGTAATTCAAATAATTGTTCCCCTAGGTGAAATGTATTGTTTTTCTCTGGCCATTTTCAAGACTTTTTATTTGTCTTTAGTTTTCAGTAGTTTGATTATAATATATTTTAGCATGGATTTCTTTGAGTTAACTTGTTGGGAGTTCACCAAGTTTCTTCAACCTGTAAGATTGTATCTTTCAAAACATTTGGGAACTTTCCATATATTATGTCTTTAAATAATTTTTCCTGTTTCACAGTCTTTCTTTTCTTCTTCTGAGACTCCGATGAAATGAATTTAGACCTTTTGGTACTGTCCCACAGATGCCTGAACTCTGTACTTTTTTTCAGTGTTTTTCTTTTTTTGTTTAAATTGTATCTTTCTCTCTCTCTCTCTCTCTCTCTCTCTCCAAATTCCCTGACATACTGTCTCGCCAAACTTATATTAAGCTATTTGGTTCCTTTTTATATATTTTACTTTTTTATTGAGCTTCTCCATCTTTCCTTTTGTTTCTAGAGTATTTGCCCTTCTTTGCATGGTTATAATCGTTGTTTTAAAGTCTTTGACTGACAATTCTAGCATTTGTGTCATCTTAGAATTGACATCTATTGATTGTCTTTTCCTTTATCAGTTGAGGTTTTTCTGGTTCTTCATATGCTGAGTAATTTTGAATTGTAAAAAAAATTTTGCGTATTTGGGTCTTATTTAAATCCCAAGGAGAATGACGACTTTTTGGTTTGTTTGTTTAGCAAGCCCTTGGTCAGGTTAATCTCAGCTTTCAAATTCTGGCCTGCCTTCTGTGAACTGTGGTTCCAATACCAGTTCTGTTTCCAAAGCATTTGCAGTGCTATTTGGATCAATCCCATGGGTCTGCTACTGTTACCGGTGGCGAGTGTCTGAGTTACTGGCAGCAAACCCATAGAGGTCTGCAGCAACTTCAATTCTTGCCTCCTCAGAAGAAATAATTCAACTGAGGGGCATAAGACAGAAGGAGAGATCAGGGCAAGTTTTAGAGCAGGAGTAAAATTTATTAAAAGCTCTAAAGCAGAAGTGAAAGGAAGGAAACTACACTTGGAAGAAGGCCAAGCAGGCGACTTGAAAGACAAGTTGCCCCATTTGACCTTTGACTCAGGGTTACTATGTTGGCATACTTCTAAGGTCTTGCGTCCCTTCTGCCCTGATTCTTCCCTGGGGTTGAACTGCCTGGTTGTGCAGTAGCCTGCTAGCACTTGGGAGGTGAGAATGTGCACTGTGGACCAGGCACAGTGACTCACGCCCACAATCCCAGCACTTTGGGAAGCTGAGGCCAGTGGATCACCTGAGGTCAGGAGTTCAAGACCAGCCTGGCCAACATGGAAAAACCCTGGCTTTACTAAAAATACAAAAATTAGCCAGGCATGGTGGTGCATGCCTGTAATCCCAGCTACTCTGGAGGCTGAGGCAGGATGATTGCTTGAGCCTGGGAGGTGGAAGCTGCAGTGAGCCAAGATCGTGCCACTGCACTCCATCCTGGGCTACAAAGCAAGACTCTGTCTCAAAAAAAAAAGAGAGAGAGAGAGAGAGACTGTGCAGTGTGTTTACTGGAGTTGTATGCATGCTCACTTGCGTTCTTCCCTCACTGGTGGAATGGCCCTGGAAGATCATATACCTATTAAACTCTGCTATTTTGCCTCTTAGTGCACATGCTTGAGCCCACTTGTTCAGTTCCTGAGATCTTTTCAGGAAGTTGCTGATCACCAGTTTCAGGTGTTTCTATCTGTTGGGAAACTGCCTTTTCCTGGTGCTGGCTGTGACCAGTTACTATTTTAGAGAAGCAGTGTGACAACTGTCTGACCATCACCTGATGGTTTTCTGAAATTCCTGGTGGGGTTGGGGTGGGATGGAGTGGAGCCCTCTCCTGCCCTGCTCATCCTGACTAGCTACCTATGGTAACACTACTGGGTACCCAGTCTGGAACCTGGGTGGTGGTCTGCCCTGTGGTTAATTTTACAAACTCTGTTGAGGGTCAGACCTGTGCATGCTCAGCTCAGAGATAAGCAAGGAGCTTATATACAACTTTATGGGATTACTCTCTTCATCTCTCTCCTTTCTGTGGTCACCCCATTACTTTCCAACTTGCTGGGGCCTTCCTTTTTGGTTCTCTGGCCAGAAAGCTGGGGCTTTAATTTCTTTCTTCTGCTATGCCCTTCCCGTGACTATGTCTGCATCTGGAGCCAGGCTGAAGGACAGAGAGAGACAAAAAGCAATGGAGATTTGCCCCACACTCTTGGAACCACAATGCCTCTGCTTAGAGAGAAGTTTTGGGTGCTTGCCAACCCACCGCTACTCTCACTATGCTGCTGCCTCCACTAATGCCACAGTGTTGCCTGGCACCTGGGAAAGGAGAGAAGGAAAAAGACCTGGGGGATTTCCTCCACTGTCTCCAAACCTTAGTCCCCTTTTCTACTTCTTGGGCTACAAAAAAATGTGGGGACTTTTCTTGGAGCTTTTTTGGTCCTTATTTGAAACATACTTCTGAGTTTTGAGCTTCCTTTTTTCCCCCATGGTGGGAGAAAAATGGTAAACTTATCACTAATGTGGTAGAACGTCTAATTCTGGTCTTTTTTCTCAATCTTCTTTCTACCATTTACTTTTCAGAGTCCTCAGATAGCTGCTCCACATATTCTGTATCCAGGAATTAAAGTTGTGTACAGTGGGAGAGACAAGGTAGACTATAGTTATTCCTTCTTCTCCAGAACTAGAACTTTATTATTATTTTTTTAAATAAATAGAGATGGGGATCTCACTGTGTTGCCCAGGCTGGTCTCAAACCCCTGGCCTCACCTCAGCCCCAAAGTGTTGGGATTACAAGTGTGAACCACCACGTCCAGCCTCTATTATGTTTTGACACTTAATTATATCAGATATCTCATTAATCTTAAACAGCTCTGAAAGATAGTTGTTGTACCTGTTTCACAAATGAGAAGACATAGTTCAGTAATTTTTCCAAAATCATATAGGTAATAAATATTGGGAAAAAAATCTAAAAATGATCTTTCATGAATTATATTTACTTAACATTTAGAACTTTAAATTTTAAGTACATCATGTATTTTTCTGTTTCCAACAGAAAAGAAACATTTGTTTGCATAGGAATTCATGAAGGCGACCCAACCTGGAAAAAGAACTACTCACTTTGGCCATGGGGGTCTTGTGACAAATTAGTTCCTTTGGAGATTGTATTCAACCCTGAGGAATGGATTAAACTTACAAAAAATATCTACAACTGGACTGAAGAATATGGAAGGTATGAACAGCAGTTGCATTTTGATGCATATAAACATAGCAGTTTTGAGTACCCAAAAAAACTACTACATTTTGAGATGCCTTTTAATTTTTTTGTTTTACTTTTTATTAATTGTTAATATTGTTACTTGCTACCCACAAAGTACCATAATACAACAGAAAGAGAACGTGTCTTTCTCGTTCTCCTATTTACAAAACAGTGGGGAGAGCGGAGGGAAGAGGGTGCTGGTTGTGTGGATACCATGATGGGGGATAGATGATGGCACCTTGTACTTCCAAGTCTTTGAATGCTACATCGTCCACCATCCTATAGCTCATTGCCCTAAAAGCGGAAGAGGTTCATTAACTGCAGTTGAACTTTAAAAGGCATTCTGTTGCTTATGATAGTTTCCATTTGCGCAAACTTGTCACTTTTTTTTTCTTTAGGAATGGCAGATAACTTCTCTGTGAGGGAAGACTCAGCTTTAAGTAACTTTGTTTTCAGAGTTTCTTGGCATCAACCTGGTTATGTTTTAGAGGCATTACTAGCCTTCCTTTAAGCATTTCTACATAGAGTTTACTCTTTCCTATACAGAAAATGAGTCACTATCTAGGCTGCTCTACCTATGGAGTAGCGATTCTTTTACTTGCTTTCACGCATACACAGAGTCACTATCTAAAGAAATGTGCCTCCAATACTTACTTTTGAAATTATGAATTATTTAAAGATTATATAACCTATTGCTTATAGGTTAAGAGCAACAGACAAGATTATATTTTAAAATACTGTAAAGGTTTTTTGAAAAGTCAGTATGCACAAATACAGACCACATTGTTGTATAACAGCCAGAGATGGATGATCAAAGCACTCTACGGCCATAAGAAAAAGAACAGCTGAACAACTAGTACCGGTACATAACATTGCTCACTATCCCCATTCTATCAAATATATACATAGTAAGAAAATTTTTAATTAAGAGAAAGAAAAATCAAATGGCTTGGCCATTGTTCTTTGAGCAGCATCAAAGCTCCAGCAGTGATTTCCCAAGCCAGGAGTCCCTTCTCTTCAGGCTGATCCCCTTGTCTCACAGCTCTTTGGCTCTTACCTCTGTCCATAGAGTGACCTACACTTCACCTCTGCCCTGTTGCCATCTAACATACAGTTCTTATGAACGGCTGGCTCCCCAGATACTTCCAATGTCTTCCCATTGATCTTCTGTTTGCTCTCTTGAGGCATGGGAGCTCATTATGCAGATTAAGAAGATAGAACTAGAACTACCATTTGACCCAGCCATCCCATTACTGGGTATATACCCAAAGGATTCTAAATCATGCTGCTATAAAGACATGCACACGTATGTTTATTGCAGCACTATTCACAATAGCAGAGACTTGGAACCAACCCAAATGTCCATCAGTGATAGACTGGATTAAGAAAATGTGGCACATATACACCATGGAATACTATGCAGCCATAAAAAAGGATAAGTTCATGTCCTTTGTAGGGACATGGATGAAGCTGGAAACCATCATTCTTAGCAAGCTATCACAAGGACAGAAAACCAAACACCACGTTTTCACTCATAGATGGGAATTGAACAATGAGAACACTTGGACACAGGAAGGGGAACATCACACACTGGGTCCTGTGGTGGGGTGATGGGAGGGGGGAGGGATACCATTAGGAGATATACTTAATGTAAATGATGAGTTAATGGGTGCAGCACACCAACATGGCACATGTATACATATGTAGCAAGCCTGCACATTGTGCACATGTACCCTAGAACTTAAAGTATAATTTTTAAAAATTTTTAAAAAGATATTTACCAAAACCCAAACTTCCTTATAATTCAACTTTTTTAGGAAAACAAGTTTATTAATTTGATCACTATCAGTATTTCAAGATTCATCTTATTTTATTGGCCTTGTCAGATGATAAAACAGTCATGATGTATCCTTTGCAAAGATGTGGATGATGGCTGGGCATAGTGGCTCACGCCTGTAATCCCAGTACTTTGGGAGGCCAAAGCAGGTGATCACTTAAGGTCAGGAGTTCGAAACCAGCCTAGCCAACATGGTGAAACTCCATTTCTGCTAAAAATACAAAAATTAGCTGGATGTGGTGGCGGGTGCCTGTAATCCCAGCTACTTGGGAGGCCAGGGCTGGAGAATCACTTGAACCCAGGAGGCGGAGGTTGCAGTGAGCCGAGATCGCACCATTGCATTCCAGCCTGGGCAACAAGAGCAAAATTCTTTCTCAAAAAAAAAAAAAATGTGGATGACAGAAAAATATTACTGTTTTCTTGTAACTACAGGTTTGATCCATCTTCTTGGGAATCTGTGGCCAATGAAGAAATGTGGCAAGCGAGGTGACTAATCTACATTTTTGTGTGTGCAGTCAATTTTTAATATGACAGGGAAGTAGCCTATGGCAGTTTTAATTTCAAGAGTAGGGGTGAGTAGTGATAATGAAAATAACATTTATGAGCAATTATGTTTTTGAGGCACTGTGCTAATCATACGTGAATATTTCAGTTCATCCCCACAATAACCTCTGAGGTTATTGTTTTATAAAAGAACAAACTGGATGTGGAAAGGCTACTTGTCCAAGGGCACAGTGCTGCTATTGATGGAGTCCAAAGTTCACATCTGTCTGCCTCTGGAACACTCATCTCTCCTATGCTTTCTTGCCTTAATTAAAGTGAGTGTAATTGATTGAGTAGAAATTAATCATTACAACCTTGCCTCCATTTGTAATGTGCCTGTTAATTAGTTAAGCACTTATTTAATACTTACTGGAGGCCAGGCACCGTGCTAGGCATTGAAGCTACACATATGAATATGACACACTTCCTACCCTCATGAAGTGCATAGTCTAATGAGCAGACAGACATGTTAAAGGAGATTAGAATATTAATCTGATGGAGCCTATACTTTCCTGTAGTTCAGAGAAGAAGAGAGGTCATCCTGTCCTATATGGAACATTTCATAGTGATGCAACTTCTTTTGGTTCCTGTCATTGTTTTTTTTTTTCTTTAAATCATAATAACACTAACAAACTTTGGCCTAAGTATTAATGTAAAAGTCCTAAGTAATGCAGACGGAGTATCTTGTACATAGGGAGTGCTTCCTTCAGCAAAGATGTATTGATGTCCAGTCTGAGCCAGGGACTGTACACGGAGAACAGTTATGATACAAAGAGCTTACATAAGTTCGAAGAGGTTTTTAAATAGTGGTCAAGAAATACAGCTGCAAAATAATGATTGTAAATATAGATCAAGGATATACCGTATGTTTGCACAATTTACTGTGATTGAATGTGGGAAAGCTGGGAAGAAATCACATAAAAGAAGAAAGCAGGTCATTATTTACACAGGTATTGATTTAATTGGTGTTCTGAATACAACCTGGATGAGTTCATGGGGTCTAAGGGTCTAGTCACCTTGGAAGAACTGGGCACACATGGCATGAGCTTCATGATGGGTACCTTAAGGGATGTGTTGGCTAACTCAGCAGGTTTCCCTTTTCCTGGCTTCTCTTGCATAACAATAATGTACATTTGGAGGATGAACAGTGTATAATAGTGATGTCGAGTGTAGGCTTTTTTCCTAAAAGATTTAGTCATTAGTGTGAATGCAGCATCTTGGCAGGTTGGTGGAGGGATTGTTGTTGGTTCAGAGCAAATGTCCATGAATATGAGAGAACTGAAAATAATACAATAAAGAATTTTGTACATCCCTTATCAGTGGAGAAGCCTGGAAGATTTAGCCCTGAATGTGCAATTGACTGTATGATTTTAATGAAGGTTCCTATCCCCACCCCCAGGATGAAAACACCATTCTTCATCTTTAACCTGGCAGAAACTGCTCACATGCCTTCAAAAGTGAAAGCTCAACTCTACGCTCATGCATATGACGTATGTTATACTTTAATATATAGATATAGATATATTTGGTGGGAAGGTGATGGTGATTGGGATGGATAGAGGGTATATCACATTAGAATTTTTATTCTTTTATTTCCCTCTTAATTTGGGCGTTATAAAGCAGCACATATGAACAAATCCTCAATTGTATCACAGTATCCAAAGTAAATGGCTCTGGTAAGCAGAATAATACCTCCCACCCAAAAAAAGATGTCTATGTCCTAATCTCCACAACCTATGAATATGTTACCTATGTAACAAAGCAGGGGTGGGGGGATTAAGTTAGGGGTCTTGAGACAGGGGTTATCCCAGATTATCCAGGTGGGCCCAACATAATCATAAAGGTCCGCATGAAAGGGAAGCAGGCAGGTCAGAGTCAGAGTAGTAGACCTGATGCAGACGCAGAGGGCAGAGAGAGAGACTTGAAGATTCTACATGCTGACTTTGCAGATGGAGGAAGGGGCCAGGAGTAAAAGAGTTCAGGCCACCTCTGGAGGAAGTAGGAAAGGGTAAGGAAACAGATTCTCCTCTAGAGCCTCCTGAAGGAGCGCAGTCATGCTGGTTTTATGACTTCTCACCTCCAGAAGTGCGAGGTGATAATTGTATGTTGTTTTAAGCCACTATGTTTGTGGTAATTTGTTATAGTGGCAATAGGAAACTAATATAACAGCTTAATATAAAACAAGTTCTAGCTGGTTACTCTCTCTGCAAAAGTCATGACCCTGGCTCCACTTGAAATGATAGGGCCGTGGCTGGTTGAGATTTCATGAGAAGAGAGAGAGTCATGGAGGGTGGCTCTGTCTTCTTACTGGCCCCAGGAAGCCAAATGAACCTTCGGAAGACACAGCCACACTGAAGATCTTGCACACATCGGTCCTCTCTGATGGGAAGTGGGAGCAGATACAGGAGGCTTGCTGTGGCACTATTGTAACCAAGTCTCTGCTTTGCTGTGACTTATGGCACTGGGCACTTCAGACACTTGCAGAGTCTGCTCTATAGGAAACTAATATCCTGACAAGGGCCAATGAAAATAGAGGGTAGGACCTGTATATATGAGCAGCTGAGATATTTCTGCCATCTCTAGACTGCTGTGGTTCTACTCAGCCAGGCCAAGTGTTTGGTGCTAAGACAAAATAGCATGGTGTCCAATCAGTATGACTACTTTTACTCCTCAATTGTGATCTCTGGTTCCTTGTTTATTCACTTATATTCACTCACAAGGCATTTCTTGAGCACCCCCTCCATAGCAAATAGTGTGCTGCAGACAGTTAAGTCTTATCCCTGCTATCAAAAAGGTGGCAGGCTAGAGAGAGAGAGAGAAGATCAAGTCCTCAGTCACAGTTCAGACTTGAGAGTGCTGTGAGAGGCACGCAGAGGTGCTACGGAAACCCAGAGCACTGGACCGGAGCAAGCTGGGGAGTAGGCTGGTGAGGGAGGAAGGAAGGGAAGGCTTCCAGAGGGGATGTCATTGGAGTGTCATCCTGAAAGATCAGAAGGAGCTAACCAGACAGATGGTAGGGCAAGGAGGCGAGAGAGGGAGGGGAGAGCAGTCCATAAGGAGCGAGCCATGGGGGCAAAGGCGGAACCCTCTGAGGCACCCCACTTGAGGACAGCAAGATACCCGATTATAGAAGGCAGCATGCTGGAGTTCTGTCTGGCAGTAGGGAGGCCCAGCTTCTAGGCCCACTCTGCTGTTAATTGTCAACTGTGAGTCAATGAACCTTTCCAGGCCTTTATTTTTTTTTTTTTTTCTAAAAAAGAAAATGGGCTTTAAACTTGAAAAGATCGTCTTTCATATCCTGTTCATATAATAATCCTGTTTATCTCTAATACCTTGTAATTCTTTGAAAAACAAGTAATATTTAGTTGGGAGAAAGCTGAGACTTACTGATATTTTATATTCTCATCAGTGACCGCTTCCATGGTGCGTTGTTAGGCTACTACTAAAGCTCGCTTGTGGATTTGTTGTCCCTTTGGGTCAGCAAACTCTATTTTTTTTCAGTGAATACAGATTATTGGTATCTCCTTTGCATAGTCTCCAGATGTGTGACAATGTTTACAAGACAAATGAGGCCAATTACTTCATGGTAATTACTTAATTACCACCCCTAGTGCTAGTTTTTCAAGAATGTTCTTGTTAGGTGTAAAGAATATATTTTTGTTGCTGTTTACATTATCCTACTCAATAGCTCATACAGAATATTAAGTTCAGGTGACTTAATAATTTAGGCATGGTGGGGGAGCAGGGCAGGGAGTAGCCAATTTATTCCTATAGGAATAAATTGCATCATTTGAAGGTGTCCTGCTGCCTGAAGACTAGTAGGTGGGTCATGGATGAGCCTCCATTCTCTGGAGCAGTTGGGGAAATGCTCCTGGAAGTATTGGCATCTATTTTGGACTTCAGCACCTTAGTGTGGGTTGGTGGGGTGGGGATGGTTAATGGGTACAAAAATATAGTTAGAATGAATACAATCTAGTATTTGATAGCACAACAGGGTGACTACAGCCAACAACATTATGATACATTTAAAAATAACTAGAAGAGTATAATTGGATTGTAACACAAAGAAGGGATAAATGCTTGAGGTGATGGATACCCCATTTACTCTGATGTGATTATTATGCATGGCAGGCCTGTATCAAAATATCTCGTGTACCTTATAAATATATACACCAACTGTGTACCTGCAAAAATTAAAAATAAAAAAGTAGCAAACATGAATCTAACAGGTTTATATTTCTACAGAAATATGTATTATACTTAATTTACAAAATAAAATTGGTATGTGTAAAGCAACAACAACAACAACAAAAACTTAGTAGGATTTTGAAAACTGGACAGCTCCTGAATGCCTGCTTTGTGTAGGGCAGCATGCTACAGCCTTTATATCCGTGTCTTATCAGAGGAGGCCTCAGGAAGAGAAACCACTGGACAAAAAATGATGAGGAAAAGGGTAAAGCAACTTTAGATATTTTACCAAGAGGATAAAAGGGTAGGAGGCTCACAGTAATCTTGATGTATATGAAAGCACATGGTGATTCTTTCCCATTTTTTCTTTCTTTTCTATTTATTTATTTTTTATAACTAGAGATGGGGGTCTTGCTTTGTGGGCCAGGCTGGTCTCCCACTCCTGGTCTCCAGCAATCCTCTGGCCTCGGCCTCCCAAAGTGCAGGGATTGCAGGCATGGGCCACCATGCCCAGCCTCTTCCCTATTGTATAAAATCAAGGGAACTAAGGGGAAATTTGCTTTAAAAGGCAGCTGGATGACTGAGGGTTATTGACTATTGAAACAATATATCAAACATGGATTACGGAATTTTTCGTGAGGGTGGTATTTTAAAATAGGTATGCATTTGTCTGCCCTGGAGTAGGAATTGGAAAAATAGATAATATGATTGGGTTTCTTTTAACTAAACGATGTCATGTCTAATTCAAAAAGCACTTGTCCCTTGGAGAAAGCACTATTGCTTTCCTGTGGTCTCAGAAAGTCTATAGGTTAAACGCCTGTGAATACAGCTCTAACTTGACAATCTCCAAGAAAGCTGTGAGATTCCCAAATAAGCAACTGTAATATTCCATTTTGCAGATTTATGTGTTTTATTTGTTAAATTTTTGATGTGTTTCCTCTAGAAAACTCAATATCAAAAAATCTAACTCTATACAATTAATACTCTCTCTGATGTTGAAAAGCGAAATTCTAAATTCCTATGGGCAAAGTTTTAACTATCAAAATTGTAAATTACAGGATACTGTGAAGCTTTTCAGTATCTCACTTTAAGGATATCTCTTAAACTCTGTCACACTCAGCCTCTGTGATGATGAATTTGTCTGGATTGTTTTATCGTTGCTATTGTTATTAGTGTTATTTTTAATGTAGAGAGAAATTTCTGTCAAAAATGTGGGACAAAAATTTAAATTCCTTCAAGTTCTTTTTCCAGGCAGTCTTCTAAAGAAAGCTGTTTCTTTTTCCTCCAACAGCTAAATTTAGAGTTTCAACTCTTCTGCCTGTTGAGTAAATAGCTTTCCATGAATTACAACTAAATCCCTTCCCCAGAACATCTTTCTGGAGGAAGAGTATTTTGTCCTAACACAGTGTGTCTCAGGTTTCCCCTGCAACATCCGAAAACCTCAGAAGCAGTTTTAGATGCAGCATATTTGCCTCCTGCTACTGTAATAATTACAGTAACATTCTTGCATTTTCTGCATGGCCTAGCAATGATTAGATTTTTACTGGAGACTGCTTGAATTTTTTGTTTCTTGTTATTAATTCCTCTGTGGTTTTTTTGTTTGTTTTTGAAAAAAAAAGTCAAAGAATAACAATGGAATACCAACATTTCTGCTGTTTTCTAGCTTTATAAGGAGATTGTCTATTTGCAAAAGGAGCACCCAGTGAATTGGCACAAGAACTATGCCATTGCCTGTGAGCGGATGCTGCGTCTTCAGGCAAGAGATGCAGACCCTGAAGTGCTGTTATCTGAAACCATCAGACATTTCCATCTGTACTCTCAGAAAGCACGGAATGATCCACAGCAAGCTGATATTTTAGGTGCTCTAAAGCACCTAAGAAAAGAACTGCAAAGTCTGAGAAACAGGAAAAATGTCTGACACAGCAAAATATGAAAAACCTGCTCATCATTCAGCTTCCAAAATTCTGAAGTCCGGAAGTTTTTTCTTCAAGAAAAGAAGCTGCATAAAAAATTTAAAACTAAGTCATCTCCCAGATATAAGTAACATGGTCCAGCAGTACTGTTTAATGGGGTGTTCAGTGACTAAGATCTACTATTTATGCAAAATGCTGTTTATCCCATGTTACCAAATTACCGTTTCAGTGAGAAGCTTTATGAAAAGTCTTCTGACTTCCAGTCTTTTACCAGATGACTGCGCTGGATTAGATTCTAGAAGAGAATGAACCATTTTCATATAACTAAATATTGACCATGAACTGTTTAAGGGCCATGCTTATTGGAATCAGTTTTAAAGTTAAATTCTTTTGATATTAATACCAGACCAAAGACATTTTCTGTTTCCTGAACAAAAAGAATGAATCATGTTAGGCTTTAGGTGAGAGTACATTTTTTACAAAGTAGCTATAGTTGTTACATAGTCTTACACTTCAAGCTAAGCACCAAGTGGGTGATATTTTGAAAAAAGTTTGTGTTTTACTGTCTTAGATCGTTCTCGGAAATCACTGAAAAAAAAAAAAGCTAATTTGATGTTTGCTTATTTCAGTTGCAGAAACTGGTGAGTAAAAAGGATTTTGCATTTTCTTAATTAATTTTATATTTATGTTTTATTTCTATTTGGACTCAGAGATCTAGGCCCAATAATTAGTAGGCTCTTGCTGCCAAAATGCAAAGGGGAAAAAAAAGGCAGGGATTCGGGGGGATGGGGGAAGTGGCTTAATAAATTCATTTCTGTTACAAGCATCTTTTATACATATTACTAAAGAGAACATAGTAAGAAATGCAAATAATAGTTCTTTATTTTATTATGACAGTTAATTAATAGCAACCTGTTTTAATGAATAAAGTCACTCAGAGTCCTTCAGCACTTCCTAAGTAGAGGCCAGAATCTGTAGGGCTTCTTTTCCCCCCAATTGTATAGCTCCTAGACTCCAAGCACTATATAGGCCCCTGTATAGAAATGCTCACTAATGAAGAGGGAGGGCTAGAAGCTTGTCTGCATTCAAAGATCACTGGTGAGTCATTCAGCAAGAAAAGGCCCCTTACCAGGAATAGTCACAGTTCCGTGGCATTGTACTAGCAAAAGGGTCTGATCAAAGGTCTCCTGTGGAGCTTGCATGGTTCCCTTTCATACTACGACCATAATTAAAACCACTAATTCTCTTTTAAAATGCTGCAGGATGCCATGTAGGCATCTGTCTGGAGTGTCCTTTGTGATGTCATAAGCTGTTAAGGACCAGTGCCGAGGGCTTTTGAGTGAAATGCCAGTCATGAAGGTGCTTCAAGACAAGGGTGCCTCTAAAAGCTTGACAGGGCCTTGACTGCACAATTCGAGCTGAATTTGCCCCTTGTCAGCTGCCAGTAAATAAATCTCAAAGGGGGAAAAGCTGAAGTTTCATTACCTGATCCATGGGGCTTTGTTGGTTTTGGCATCACACAGGGGAAGCTCTTGCCCCTCCATTCTCTGGATTTGAAGATGTCCATTGGAGCCTGCAGTGCCTGGACAGGGTTCAGAGCGGAACCTTTTGAAGAGTGTCAATAGTTGTAACAGTTCAGCTGTTAGGAAGACAAATAAATGGAGGAGCTCATTAATCCGCTTTTGGCTCTCAGTGCCTTTTGCCCTTTTATCACAGCCTTATTAGGCTCCTACTCATCTTGAACCAGAAAAAAATGAATTGAAGTTGTTGAGTACTAATTGGCAAAGACTTTTAATCATGGGCCAAGAACTTTCACTGACTTGAAAGTAACTTCTCCACAGGGAAGGACCAAAAACCTGGTTTACCTTAAAACAAAAACCTGTTGGAGTTCAGTGTGGTGTAAAAATGTAAGGAAGCGTTGATAAATTGTCTAAGTTTATCCATTCGAAAGAAGTTGTGTAAGATTATGATATTCTCTTTTAAAAAAGAAAGTACAATAAAATTCAAACATTTCTTAGGAAAGCATTGTCTTTATTGGTTCGGAAAAGAGATTGCACACATGTGTGATGGTCATGTTTGTTTCTGAACATGTATACACAGGTATGTGAATATCCATCTCTGCATCTGCATACACATGTGGTGTTTGAGGAACCTCATTGAAAGTGATATTTCCTATTAGTCGCCTTAAGAATGGCAAATGAAGACCTCTTTTTGAGAATCTCTGCTTTTAAATATTTTTAAAATATGTGTCTGTACTATGGAGATATGTGTATGGCTGAATGTGCTTTATGTATAGATTCTTGTCAAACGGTACATAGATTATTTTGTGTGTGTGCAACAACGGCTTTGGGCCACTCTGTCTTTGAGAAACCAATGATATAATAGCCCAGAGTAGATAGGATCATAATAAGTTTCTAAAAACCACTGGTAAATGAAAAACTAGTAAACTGAGCTGAGATTTAGGGATGTTGGGCTTCATTCCCAGATCAACTACTTTGGAGAATCCTTTCCTTTCTGTTAGACGAGGTTAAACAAGTTGCTTTCTTTTTCTTTCTCTTACTTTCCTTGGCTAGTGTACAGACACCACAAAATCTGATAAAAGCGGTTTCCTGTAGTCTGACCCCCAACATTGAGGGGACTGTGATGGAGGTGACTTCTCATGCAGGATTTGGCCAGCGTTCTCCTAGCAGTGTCCTGGGAGTGCCATGGGTTGGCAAGACGACAGGAACTCCACAAGGCCAAATTCTGCCTGGACTTCGGCCTGAGGTGCCAATGAAACTGTCTGCCTCTCCACATGCATCAGGGCCCTGCCGCCCTGGCACCAAGGCTGGCACGCACCAGAGGGCAAGTGGAGAAGTGGATGGTGGCTCCCAAGTTATCTGACTAACCACTGGGTGGGCTGCACTCCCTGTGCCCCCCTGTTCCCTCTGATGGGAGTATGCTTGGTTCTTGGTATTGACTTGCCTTTTTTTGTTGTTTTTTTAAAAGGACCCATTTTGTTAAATGCTTCTGTTCTATTACTCAAAATGTAGCCAAAATAGAAGGGAATCAACTACTAGTGTATTATTTGAAAGCTTAAAACAGAAATTGTGAAATGTTATTTCTGCTCATATTCTTAGTGTTTTCTCTTGGTAGGACCATAATGTTTAGCCTTTACGATATTTAAAACTCATTATGAGTGTTAGGGTTGTTTTTGTGATACCCTGCTGGTAATTTTAAGTCATGAGGCTAGGATATGAAGAGGAGTTTTTTAAGTTTATGTTTTAAAAGTGAAATATTGTGACTCTTTAATCATAGTTCTCATCAATATCCCTCAGAATATTTAAATGTTAATGCTTTAATATTTAGGGAAAAATTTTATACCAAAGGTTGGAAAAAAAAAAAAAAAAGAATCCTGTTACTCTGACTTCTGGTATGTTTTATAAATGCATCAGCACAGGATATTACTTAAAATTCTGTTCTGACTGGCTTCAAGTCTTATGGTTAGGTAAAGAAAACAGCTTCAGCCCAGTAAGAGATTCACATTTTGTTGTGAATGCAAAACCATTCTAATGCTGATACTCACAAACAAATAACTAATGTTTCCAGGGATTCTGGGAACATCTAAAGGCCAGGATCTTGGCACAGCATTACAGAGCAAACAAGGAGCTAAAGCTTTAGCAGTGATCATATTCAATGAAGACATCATTGTCAGTACCCTCTAAAGGTCTGTTTGATTTGGATCAGCACAGACAGTATTTTTAAAATAGCCCCAGGAATAGTACAGTAGGCTTACTCAGCTATAGAAAATTAAACAGGAAGATATCCTGAAAAGGGGGTTTTTCAGGAAAAAAAATTCTGATTGCTCTTCAACAATGTAACATACATTTGATGGATATTATATGTACTAGAAAGATTAGCTCATGCCATAGTGGGGAAAAAAAAAAAAAGGGTGGTGATGCCACATGGGAAGGACAAGTAGCAGTTCCAACACTGTACATGTGAAGCCAACAATTATTAGCCTGAAAGTGGAGTTCTCTGGCTCTTTGCTGCAGATCCAAAGTTAGGGGTGAGGGTTAATTTTCAATACAGACATTGCTATGATATTAAAAAATTGAGTTGACAAGGTTGAGAAAGTTACAAGATAAAGGTCAAGACACAAAGACACAATTATTAGACCCTACTCCTATCCCAGTGATCCAGCCTCACAGAGCAGCTGCAGAGTTGCAAGTCTTCTGGTACATAGTTGCCATTAGATGAGGATAAGTATAATAAAAGATAAATAGAAATAAGCCAAATCTAAGAAATAATCTAACCATTTCAAAACTTTAACTTTAGGATTTGTTGTAATTCTCGTATAAGAAGTATGGGATGAAGAACAATATATGGAAATGGCATAAAATCTTTTTATCATTAAGTTCATTGTATAATAAACACTGCAAGCTAACGAATGGAGATTATGTCCTTTTTTTTTTTTTTTTTTTTTTTTTTTTTGAGTTAGAGTCTCACTGTGTTGCCCAGGCTGGAGAGCAGTGGCGCAATCTTGGCTCACTGTAAGCTCCGCCTCCAAGGTTCACGCCATTCTCCTGCCTCAGCCTCCCGAGTAGCTGGGACTGCAGGCGCCTGCCACCACACCCGGCTAATTTTTTGTATTTTTAGTAGAGACGGAGTTTCACCGTGTTAGCCAGGATGGTCTCGATCTCCTGACCTCATGATCCACCTGCCTCGGCCTCCCAGAGTGCTGGGATTACAGGAGTGAGCCCCTGCGCCCGACCATGTCCTGTTTTCAAAATAACAAACAATGATCGTCTTCTATTTAGAAGTGTTATCTGAAAGGGCATTTTTTGAAATGTAACCTTTTGAAGAAGGTACTTGATATTTCTCTCAGCTAAATGAAATATTCCCTTAGATAGTTGAACTGTTGAAGGTATCTTTAATACCAGTGGTGGTTGTTCACATATAAAAGCGTGTGTGATTAAAACTGAAAGGGGAAAACTGAAAGGGGAACACTGCTTGGAAAATCATACCCAGTTTTCTCATCCTTGGATTATGGACCTAAATGAATCACCCATTACCCTGGATCCTTGAGTATCAGCTAAGACACAAGAATTCAGGGCCAGGAATGGTGGCTTATGCCTGTAATCCCAGAACTCTCGGAGGCTGAGGCAGGTGGATCGCTTGAGTCCAAGAGTTTGAGACCATCCTGGGCAACATGGTGAAACCTTGTCTCTACAAAAGAAATACAAAAATTAGCAGGGCAAGGTGGCATGCACCTGTAGTTCCAGCTACACGAGAGACTGAGGGCAGGAGGGTCCCTTGAGCCTGGGAGGTGGAGGTTGAAGTGGGCTGTGATTGCATCACTGCCCTCCAGCCTTGGTGACACTGTCTCAAAAAAAAAAAAAGTTATTATAAAAATTCAAGAGCTTTTAAAAATTACTCTTGCAAAAGCTACAAAAACTTTAAAGAGGATTGTTTATATATGGAAAATGATCTATTTATCAAAAAACTAGGGTTCCTTAGTGTAACAGGTAAAAGGAAGTTTTCACAAAAGTTCATTCTTAGAAGCATAAAAAACTAGAGTTCAATCATGCAAAGCTTAAAACAAGCAACTTCACCGATAGAGAATACTCGTACTTAGTGTTTGTTTTTACTTAGAGAGTCATAATTTTCCACTAAAATTATAGCATATTCACTCAATATGTGGATTGTGTCTACACAGTTAAGTTTCTCTTTCAGTGATTAGAATTTTAGCCCTTAACCTATGCAGTCACCTGTATCCACCTGGAGGCAGTTCCTCCAGTTGCAGGATTGTGCTTATTTAAACTGATTGTCAAACTGTGGGACATGAAGTCAATTGAATGGGAACTGACCATCTTTTTCTTAATGAAATAGAATTAAAAATACCACAATGGGCTGGGTGCAGTGGCTCACACCTGTAATCCTAGCACTTTGGGAGGCCAAGGCAGGTGGATCACCTGAGATCAGGACTTCAAGACCAGCCTGGCCAACATGGCAAAACCCCATCTCTACTAAAAATACAAAATTTAGCCGGGCATGGTGGCGGAAGCCTGTAATCCCAGCTACTCAGGAGGCTGAGGCAGGGAGAATTGCTTGAACCCAGAGGCGGAGGTTGCAGTGAGCCAAGATTGTGCCACTGCACTCCAGCCTGGGCAACAGAGCAAGACTCTATCTCAAAAAAATAAATAAATAAAAATGCCACAATGCATTTGAGGTAACAAAGGTAAGTATTGTTTCATGGAACCTTCAGTTTCATTTCATATGTGTATGCACATATGCATGTGAATATAACATATATGTCATACTTACGTATGTGTGTATGTAAAGAAATCGATAAATGTGAGTAGAGTCAATATAAAATATACTCATTGTAGGTCATAGTAAAAAATAAATTTGAAAGTCACTGGCTTAGAAGAACTTAACACCAGACCAGGCGCCGTGGCTCACACCTATAATCCCAGCACTTTGAGAGGCTGCGGCAGGTGGATCACTTGAGGTCAGGAGTTTGAGACCAGCCTGGGCAACATGGCAAAACTCCATCTCTACTAAAACCAAAAATTAGCTGGGCGTAGTGGTGCACACCTTTAATCTGAACCTGAGGCACACTCAGGAGGCTGAGGCTGAAGTTTTGCTTGAACCTGGGAAGCAGAGGTTGCAAGTGAGCCAAGATCGCACCCACTGCACTCCAGCCTGGGCAGAGCAAGACTCTGTCTCCAAAAAAAACAAAACAAAACAAAACAAAACAAAACAGAGAACATCCAAAGGGTTAGTAAAGGATCATCCAGTGTTAACTATCACAACTAATCTAGTTTAGTAAATGAAGAAACTGACATCTACACTAAACAAATGACTTGATTAATGTCACATGGCTAGGTAGTAACAGCAGTGAGACTAGGACACAGCTTCTTGGCTCAACCTGGTACAATTTCCCTATTCCAGTTCTAATTACATGAAACCAGCTATATTCCACCATCAACTCTCTGGCACATTAAAGTCCTCAATGCAGCCATTTTAAAATTAGCATAAACTTGTCTAGGGGTAAATGGTGTATGAAATCAACTATGTTGCAAGAAATGAAAAGCTATACATTGAACTTTCCCTCTCTCCTTCAACTCTCCAGAATGTAAATTTTTTCCCCTTTCCTTTTAGACGGGGATAGTTATATCCCTGGCTTTTGACTGAAAATTTCCCTGCCCTTTCTGGACTTAGGAATATATACCCAAATTAAAAGGTTTTAGTGTGACAAGAAAAAAGTCACTTTGAAATCCAGGAACTTATTAGCATAAATTATATTCCAGCTGAATCAGCAGCTAGAAGCTCAATTTGAAAAATGTTGCACTAGTTTATATATTTGTTACCCCTCTTAAGTAGACATCAAAACACAATCATATTTCTATATTTTGGAGAAAGAAATATGTCCCAGCTCCACTGAAATTAGACTTTACCTCCCAGAAGCGGACCCCACCTACCACTGGTATTCACGATTCTTCTATTTGGTTCAGCCACTTTTTAAAAAATGTTAAATGTCAGGCCGGGTGTGGTGGCTTACACCTGTAATCCCAGCACTTTGGTAGGCCGAGGCAGGCGGATCACCTGAGGTCAGGAGTTCAAGACCAGCCTGGCTAATGTGGTGAAACCCCGTCTCTACTAAAAATACAAAATTAGCCCACCCCTGTAATCTCAGCTACTTGGGAGACTGAGGCAGGAGAATCACTTGAACCCGGGAGGCAGAGGTTGCAGTGAGCCGAGATCGCACCATTGCACTCCAGCCTGGGCAACAAGAACAAAACTCCATCTCAAAAAAAAAAAAAAAAAAAAAAGTTAAATGTCCACAACGCAGAAACCTCTTTGAAGACCTAAGTGTCTGATATCCTATATATGAACCTTACCGTATTCAATGTGTAAGTGACAATGATTTCTCCCAAATTTGACTCTTGGTTTATACGTATGATTTGTGAAAATATATACCGTAGTAAAAATAGTAATAATAGCTGTTATTATAACGATCTTGGTGACATTTGTTATCCACTGAATTGCTTCACCTAAATTTCCTTCATTTACTCTCAGAATTAGAAGTAATTTGGCCCTGCTGGGCGTGGTAGCTCACTCCTGTAATCCTAGCACTTTGGGAGGCTGAGGCGGGTGGATGACGAGATCAGGAGTCAGAGACCAGCCTGGCCAAGATGAAACCTCGTCTCAACTAAAAATACAAAAATTAGCCAGGCAAGATGGTGGATGCCTGTAATCCCAGCTACTAGGAAGGCTGAGGCAGAAGAATTGCTTAAACCCGGGAGGCCGAGGCTGCAGTGAGCTGAGATCGCGCCACTGCACTCTAGCCTGGGCGACAGAGCAAGACTCTGTCTCACAACAATATATAAAAAAAAGAAGTAATTTGGCCCTTCATGTTTGGAGGCAAATAAGTTTGGTACCCCTCAAGAAACCAAAATCCCCTTCTGATGTGACTACATAAACCATGCTGCATGCACTTTGTGCATTTGATAAAGATATATAGATTACCTATTTCACAGGGTTCGCTTTTACTAGGGCAAAACTTTTCCTCTTTCACTTGTTCCTTGCAGAACAAATAAATAGTTGATTTAAAGAGCATAAACCTGGTAAGTACATGAGCTCATTTGTACCAAGAAAATGTGTGAACCTGTACAAGACTAGAACTTTATTTTATGGTATCCCATGAAATCCCTTAATAATTGTGCTTATATTGTCATGTGAAACATGTGACCTGCTTATAATTTGGATACAATAGAGATTCTATTTTCCTTTTTTATTATAATGCACCTGGATGAAGTCAACACCTTAACACCTTCATCTCATCTCTTAAAGCTCCCATAGCCATGTGTATCTCCTGTGGGAAGTCACTGTGACTTCCCTCCCAGAAAGAGGGGACAACTCTAGTTCATATTGCTTGCTCGAAGAAGCACTTGGAAGGATGTGGGTCTGGAGTGTTCATTTTGCCCCTAAAAGAGCAAAGAGCAGAAACCAAGTTCTTTCCGGAACATAGGCTTTTTCTGGATTGCACCAGAAGCACTATAGTATAGAGTGATGACACTCCCAGCTCTGCCACTTCCTAGCTGTGTGACTTGGAGTAACTTTTTAAAGTTCTATGTAAGACAAGCACAGTGATTGATGCCTGTAATCCCACCACTTTGGGAGGCCGAGATGGGAGGATCACTTGAGACCAGGAGTTTGAGACCAGCCTGGGCAACATAGTTGAGACTTCATGTCTACAAAAAATTTTTAAAAATTGCCAAGCATGGTGGTGTGTGCCTGTGGTCCCAGCTACTCAGAAGGCTGAGGTGAGAGGATCGCTTGAGCCTGGGAGGTTGAGGCTGCAGTGAACTGTGTTTGTGCCACTGCACTCTAGCCTGGGCAATATAGTGAGACCTTATCTCAAAAAAATAAAAAATAGTGATAAAGCT